CCCATCCGGCCACCACCATCCAATAAAAAAGGATGACTGGGAACTAATGCTGACACCATAAAAGCCAGACAGAGTGTGAGCCCTGCAGTGCTACTAGTCACATCAGTCACTTAGAAGTCAACTGACAGCTTTGCTTTACCCACACCAGAATCTTAGCAGTTAGATTCTTCTAGCATACTTTGTTGTGGAACATTATTTTCTGGCCAACACTCCCTCCCAACAGCAAAACTTCTCATTATTTTGGAAAAAGGCCCTCCACATGGCCAAATGCCATAATCACAGAGGTGAGGGGACGGACCCACAGATGGTACCCGAGACGGGCAGGGTCCACGTCAAGTATCCCAAACTTTGCCCGAACTCAGGCCATCTGCAGCCGCACCTAAGCCCAAGAGGCCCCAAACAAACGTAGGCTGCAGTGCAGAGGCTCACATCAAGCATGCTTCCAGGCCAATATTTTCAATAAAAGCAAACATTCTGGTGATTAACATGAGCTCCAAGTAGCTTCCTTTGAGATTCATCTCATTTGGAAAGGATCGATGGACAGGGGATATCTGTTCTGCCCTCTATAATTTGGCAGGACATTCCCCCAACCTCTTCTGGAACTTCTTAAGCTCATTCAGTGAGAATTCTTCATTTTCAAATGACAAATCATTATTCCTAACCACGTCAAACATGCCACTACTCGGTCGCCATGTGAAGGGCACTTCCCACTGTATTAAGGGATCTCACATTGGAAGATTTAATTGTCAGCTCTGCTCTCCCAGATTGCAACACTGAGGCCTGAGCCCTGGCAGGCCCTTCTTTCTCTCCAACTGCACACAGTTCACTGGCCAACAGAGCCAGCCACCATCGCACTCTATGGTACTGAGCAGCCATGAGGGCCAAGGACCCAGGAGGATCTGCCCTAAAAAGCTTAAGTCTGGGTGGGGTGAAAGACATGGCAGAAGCCCACAGAGGCCAACCAGTCCTGGGGAGGATGGGCACAGAGGCAGGACCCTGGCAAGGAGGGCACGTGCAGTCCAGAGGGCAGGACAAACACACAGGAATCAGAGGGGATCTACATCAGGCAAGTCTTGCCAGCCCACCTTTGAGTACTTGTACAATTCAACCCCTTCCCCCACCCCAGTCCTCACCCCCAGGTCCTGCCTGTCACCTCTCACCTGGGCAGGGACTCCTGCTCCTGTCCTCTTCCCCAGCTGCGCGCACAGCATCCAGAGGGGCTCTCTCAAGTCCTCAGTCCCCTCCTACTGCTCTGCTCAGCACCCCAGAGGGGTTCCCGTCTCCAGCCACACCTGCGGTCTGTCCCTGATGCAGCCTTCCTGCCCCTGCAGTGCTCCCTCCGGCTCTGAAACACTCCCCAGGCTGGGATGGAGCTCCCAGTTTGACTCCCAAAGGAGAAAACCTGTAAGACGCAAGGGGATCTGCCTTGTTACCCCAGGAAACCACAAAACTAGCACTGCACCCCACACAGAACGTGCACCCCATAGTACTTGCTGAGGAATAAATGGAACTTCCGCCTCTAAAGGACTGGCACAGCACCTCAGCTTTCAAACTCTTTAAAATCAACTTTACTGATTATTCTTCCCAAAACCCTTCAAGCTCAACACAACAGGAGCTTAAAGAGGATCAGGAAGCTTCAGGATCTCTGATATTTCAACAGAATCATTTCCATATTCCACAGAGACGCTTCACATCAAGATGGTAAGAAGGTGAGATGCCCAGGTCACTCCCTAGAGCTATTGGTCTACAGTCAGACGCCTTGCCAAAGGCAGGGATGGAGGGATACACAGGGTCTGTCAGGAGGCAGAGCATGAGAAGCCCCCCATTGCTTGGCCTAAGTGGCTCTGTGGCACCCTAATTAAGGAGGAAGGTTCCCAATGCCTGAGCAGTGCCATATCTGCTCAGACACATAAGACAGCTCTGAGGACACCCAGCCACAAAATCCATCCTTTCCTAGTCAAAGTCAACTTCCAGGTGACACTGCAGTGAGTGCAAGGAAGGCAGATTGGGTTGACAAGTTATCCTAGCCCCAGGAGTGGACAGTCATGGTCAAGACAGGGTGGAAAATGAGCTCCTGCCTTCCTGGCTGCCCAAGTACCAGCTCAGTCCAGCAGAAGGACCGCCACAGAGAATGCCAGAAGGGGTAGCCAGGGTTCTCCAGGTTTCCTGCCATGGTGAACACATCCTGGGAGCAGGTTCTTCCCCTACAGAAGGAGACTGCCCCAACCATGATCTCAGCCAGCACTGCTGCTAGAGTCCTACGGCCACTGGGAGTGAAAGTAACTTTAGAGACTCCCTTCCAATCCATCCAAAGTGGGGTTCATTGTAGGGATGTGAAGGGTCACAGGTGGAACAAGAGGGAGCCTGTTACTTTCACAGTTATGTTCATTTTTACAAGTACTGTCTACAGCAAGTTATACTAATGTTCTATTTCAGGGAATGATACAAAGTTTCCTTGGAACAGAAAGATTCAGGAGAGTAAGGAGACGCCACAGTGAAATGCAACGTGGGGTCCTGGAACTAAATAAATCTGTCCAAGGCCTGAGGTTTGGTTAGCAGTGAGGCCCCAGTGTTTCTGCCTGTTTCTATGCTTGCAACATAATTTGATAAGATGTTAACTTCAGGGGAGGCAGGGTGTGGGGTATAGAGAAATTGTACCTTTTTTTGTAACTCTTCAAATTCTCTCAAGATAAAAAGTTACGAAGTATTCAAACTTTTAGAAAGTGAGTTGAGATGTTGGATATGAAGTGAACAACAGTACAGATGGTACATGGATCTGCAAAGAGTAGATCATCCATCCAGGAATATCTGGAGATTTGGAAATATTGTGGATCATGTCACACACCTTTCTGTCACAATGGAGAAGGGTCATGACAAGAGAGGTGGGAGGTTTGCCCAGGGGTGTGAGGGCCGCATATAGCATTGCCCAGCCTCGCCAACAATGGTCCCAAACTCTGACCCAGTGTTCTCCCATCCCAGCACCTCCCTCGAGCCACTCAGGAGACTAAGAACTACAGGAGGTGTTCTGGCCCCTCAGAGTTCACTCACTTCTGTAAGCGACCCTTGATTACACAGAGAAGATGTGCCCCATGGCACGAGGGAAGCACAGCCCCTTTCAGACCGTAGGGTGACCCCACATAGGTGGAAATGAATCTCTGCTGATCAAATGATCTGTGTGTATATCAGATTAAATCAAAGATGTCATATGAGAAATAAGAAATAAAGAGATAAGACTTCCCCAAAACATCCCCTGAGGTGTCAGGGCGCATCTTTCTCCCTGTCTCCACCTAAGCCAATCCAGTAAATGCCACCATCCCCTCAGGCCAACCCTCAGCCCCTTTCCCCGGCGTGCTCTCATAACCCCCTCCGCTCCTCCCACTCACTACGCCCCTTCTCAAAGTCCAGCTCAGAACTGGCTTTGCCTGCCCAACTCAAAGTAGGGAAGCCAGGCAAGGGTCCTCCCAGACCCTCACACTCCTCCAGCCTGGGCACCTTGGGCAGGCGTGCAGGCCCTGGGAAGGGGCGGGGGAGGAGGGAGAGGTCCCACCACTTTCAGGGCACTCCAGGCTAGCTTCTCAGCATCTCTGGACCTGAGGCGCCATGAACGATCATATGGCAGCTCTCACCCTTGATCCAGACATGAGCTCAGAGGATGCCAACTGGTGGGTGTGCATAGCAGCACTGTTCTGGGCAGAGCCCAATGTTCAGACTCCAGCCTCCACGGCTCTGCAGGGTCTCCACAGTCCTGGGAAGGCAGCCCAGGAGCCCCACAATTTCAGTGGGAGCTCCTATCCCGTGGAGTCTCACCCCTCCTCACTGGAGTCCCTGTCACGGGCACTGAGCTGGGACTCAGGCTTGGCACTGACCAACCTAAGCAAGCCCTGTCACATCTGGCTGCCTAGCCCCCACACATGCAAACTGTCAGAAGTAGATAACACAACCTACCTTTAAGGGCCACTCGCCCATCCACAGGTAAAACCGGGGTGGGGGGCGGGGGAGATGGGACTCGCCTCTCTGGAAGTTGAGGGACCACTACCAGCACACACGCAGTCTCTTGCCCCCAGCCCTGCTCCTGCTGGGTCTAAGACTGGAGCCTAGGAGGGGACACTACCCTGGCCAGCCTCTGGCGGTTCCGCTGAGGCCCAAACACTGGAGAACCTGTTGGAGCAGTTTGGGCACCAGGATCACCTCCTCTTCCTCCTCCGCCACTTACTTCTGGGTGGGAAGGGGCCTCTGGCTTTTGAAAACTCGGCACAGGGCCAGGTCATGGTCACGGGCAAAGGCCAAGCTTCACCTCCCCCCACCCCATCTTCCTCTGAGAGCAGAAGGTCAAGTCAAAACCAGGGTGGGCCTGTGTCTGGAACACAGAGGAGGGGAACGGGGAAACGCGACGGCCAAAGAGGAGGCGGCAAAGCCACAGCACCCACACGACCCACCGTTCTGTCACCCACACTCCTGCCGGGGATGTGCAGGCCGGCCGAGTCCAGGAGCCCCGCTGCGGCCGGGCAGGGGTCCCTGCCTCCCGGACAAGGTGCCGGAGCTCCGGGCTGCGGCGGACGGTGGGCGCGCCGCCGCCACCTGGCCGGGCCCCACGTCCGTCCCAGCCCCGCCGGCGTCCGAGCCCGCCACTCGCGCGTCTCCCGGGCCCGCGCGGGGAAAGTTCCTGCAACTTCGCGGGGGAGGCGCCGGGCCTGGGCCTCGGGAGCCCGGCCTCCGCGGGCCCGCTGTCAGGCGGTCCGGCCTGCTCGGCGCCCCAACTTCCCGGCCCGGCCCCCGCCCGCCGCCCCCCGCGGACCCGCTTTGTGCGCGGCAGCGGTGAGGGGCGCCCGCCCGGCCCCGGCCCCCGGCCCCCGCCCCGGGCACAAAAGGGCGCGCGGCCGGCGGGAGGCGGCGGGCGGGGGCCTGCAGGGCGCTCACCGGACCGGGCCGGGGCCGGGGGGCCGGGGGCCCGGGGGCCGGGGATCGGGGCCGGGGCCGGGGCCGGGCGGCTGCGCGCTCACCTGCCGTGGAACCAGTCCTTGCAGGCGTCGCACTCGATCATGAAGCGGGTAACGTCGTAGGGGAGCCGGCAGACGCAGTACACGGGCACCGTCGCCATGTTCGCGCGCCGCCCGCCCGCCCCTCGGCCCGCGCTGCGCTCCCGGGTCGGGCCAGGCGGGCCGGGCCGGGCGGGGGCCGGGGCCGGGGCCGGGGCCGGAGCCGGGGCCGGGGACGGGGCCGGGGGCGCACGACAGCCCGCGCGCACCCGGCCGGCGCGTCCACACAAAGCGGGGCGCGCGGTGCAGGGCCGCGCCGGGAGCCGCCCGCCGGCCCGCGGGGCGCAGGGCGCGAGTGTGCGCGGGGAGCGGGCCGCGCGCGGGACACAAAAGGGAATGGACGCGCGGGGGCGGCGGGCGGGGAGCCGCGGCCCCACCGAAGGGACCCCCGGCCGCCGAGCGGCCTCTACGTCAGCGCCCCGGGTGGCGCCGCCTCCGCCCGCCAGCCAGGGCCGCCGCTCCCGCCGCGGGAAGGCGGGCCGGGGACCGCGGGGAAGGCGGGCCGGGGTACCCCTCTGCCGGGGGAGAAAGTGGTCCGGGGGAACCGTGCTGGGGGAGAAGAGGGACCAGAAGACCCTGCCAGGAGAAGGTGGGTCGGCGGACCTGCAGGGAGAGATGGTGGGCTGGGGAGACCCTGCCAAGGGAGAAAGTGGGCAAGGAGACCCCTGAAGGGGAGAAGGGGAGCTGGAAGACCGTCACCTGGAAGAAGGTGGGTCAGGGGATTCCCGGGTTAGAAGGTGGAATGAGGATACTAGGGGAAGGCAGATCTGGGAGACCCCTGAGTGTGAGGTGAGACCCTAGAGGAGGAGAAGGAAAACGTCCTTCCTGGTTAAGAAGGCAGAGGAGCAGCTACTTGGCTCTTAAGTTTCTTCTGATAAGCAGCAGAGCAGAGGGGCAGCTTGGGGGTTGTTCCTCCTGTTGCCTCCTCCCTCCTGCCTTCCCAACTGAGTTTCTGGCTGGAATACAACTTCCCTTTCTCCCTTATTCCTGGCTGGGGACTGCCCTCCCTCCTTCACAGGATCTGTGGACTTCCCTTGATGCTGAGCCCGCAGAGGGAGGACATAGTTCAAAGGTTCCAGAAGCACGCCGGCACGGGTCAGCTCTGTGAAGAGGAAGAGGTTACCTGGAATTTGAGCTGCCCAGGAGCCCTGGTCGGAGCTCCCAGGCCTGGGAGACCTAAGGTGCAGGAAGGACAGTAGGCCCCAGGCCTCATGTCTGTGTCCCAAACTGCTGAGTTCTGCTCGTGGCAACAAGGATATAGGAGGAGAGGGCTGCCATGTTGCTCTGGGCTAGTGGTCATCCCACCTCACCTATGATGGTCAGGGTCTTTGGGGGGTGGGGGGTGAGGGGTTCAGGCCCTGGCTCTGAGGAATCTTTTCCCAAGGCATTCTACAGCAGACTCTCCCCTGCCTGCTACCCAGCTGCTGCATACTTTGGGCATTTGAGATCATCTCAGGATGCTAGAGCAGAGCTGGCTCCTGATTCAAAGTAAGGAACCTGTCTGTGCTCCCTCACTCTCTTGGTCTTCCCCATCTTCCCTGTATGGTACTAGGAGATGCTGGCCGCCACAAGCACAGAATTCCAGATTTGGGGCAGGAAACCCGGTCCAGCTCACTTCACAGAAGCATCCCTGACAGGTACCCGACCACGGCCTACCGCTCCTAAGGGTCACTTGCTCCACTTGTAGGCAGCTCAGTTGAAGCCCTCTCTCCTGTTGAGTCAAAATCTGCCTTCACATTGTTGCCCACCTTCCCTCTACAGGTGACCCCTCAACTGCAGCCTGAGCAATGCCCAGAGCTGGGCTTAGCTGGGAGGGACTAGGTGACAGTGGGGAAAAGAAGCTGGAGAAAGGGGAAGTGAGGAGAAAGGAATTATCTCTGTCCCCCCCCTACACACACACACACACACACTCTTAGACATTGGTGAGCTGCCCAGGATCTGGACTACCTTCCTATCTGAATTCCAGTTGTTATCCTCCCTTCCAGAATGCTTCCTTCTGATCCTTCTGATGACGGCCTGGATGGCCCTGGAAAGGGAGTGACTATTAAGCATGGTCCACAATTAACACCCTGATGTGAACTGGTGCAAGTAAACAGTGCTCAACCTGTAGATCAAAGTCTGCGAGGAGGCCCAAAGAGCCTGGCCTGGGCACTGCTGAGTTACCTTCTCCCGTGTCAGTACTGAATGGGCTTCCCTGGTGGTTCAAATGGTAAAGAATCTGCCTGCAATGCAGGAGACCTAGGTTTAATTCCTGGGTCAGGAAGATGCCCTGGAGAAGGGAATGGCTACCCACTCCAGCACTGTTGCCTGGAGAATCCCATGGACAGAGGAGCCTGGTGGGCTACAGTCCATGGGGTCACAAAGAGTCAGACAGACTGAGGGATGAACAGTTTCACTACTTTCCACTTTTCATGGCAGTACTGAAGCACTTAAATCAGCAATATCCCCATCCCTCCACTTGTCATCTGTTGGAGCCAGAAACTTCTAGAGACCAACTTGACTGTGGTCCAGGGGAAGCCATCCTGACTGTGGGCAGTCCTCATCTCTGACACTTCCATTTCCAACTTTACAAATAATGATAATAGGTACCCAGCATTTATCAAATGCTTACCAGGTACAGTGCACTGTGTTTAGTTCTACAGACATGGACCAGAACTCACCCAGCTGCTTGTAAAGCACTTAGCATATCCCCTGGGTAGTGATTATTACAAACTCAGCACTCACATTGACACCTTAGGTGTTACTGCTGCCACTTTAGAGATAGGTATATAAACAGGTGTTGTAGAGAGGTACAGGGCTTCCCTGGTGGCTCAGGTAGTAAAGAATCTGCCTGCAACACAGGAGACAGGGGTTTGATCCTTGGATTGGGAAGATCCCCTGGAGGAGAAAATGGCAACCCACTCCCATATGGTTGCCTGGAAAATCCCACGGACAGAGGAGCCTGGCGGGCTACAGTCCATGGGGTCGCAAAGAGTCAGACACGACTGAGCAACTAATAGATGTGGTAGAGTATTGATGCCATTTTCTGAAAGTGAAAACTGAGGCTCAGAGCAGCTGAATGGAGAAAGTCAACTGACTAGAGAGAGGAAGGAGCAAGCCAGGAACCCAGACTTCTCCAGGGCCTGAGCCTGCACTGCCACCCCTTGGTCGCCTCCCAAGGGCACCCCGAGCACATGCCGTAGGCATGGGAGCCCATCCTCCACCCCAGGTCATTCACTGCAGACCTCTGGGATGGCTCTGGCTACCCCACCCCACCCATCTCCACCCCCTGCCCTCCAGGACTCCCCTGTCTACATCCATGACCTCTTGTATCTGGAAGTGTCTTCTGGGATACTTTCCTATTACTCAACCACTTCCAAGGCTGCCTGCCAATTACAGACTAAAATGTCTCAATATGGGTCCCAGACTCTTCCTGTCTTTGGAAGAGACTTTCTCCCTATGACTTCTCTCTTATCCTCTGTCAGAAAGCCTGCCTTATCTTTATGCCCTCCCTCTCTGTCATTTATTTCCATATATATTGATGTCAACATATATTGAACACCTGCTGTGTTCAGTGTTGTAGTAGTGTACAGTGTAGCAGTGTTGTAGCCACAGAGCACATAGCAGCCCCAAGTGTCGTGACGCTCATATGGTTGTTAAGGGAGACGGCAACACATGCAGTGGGCTGGGCACCATAGCACCCTATGGAAACTGGCACAGGGTCAGGGCTGGGCAGAGGCGGAGAGCTTCAGAGGTGACCTGAAAGCAGAGGCCTAGAAGTGGTGAGTCGGGGAAGGAAAACAAAGGGAATGTACATGGAAAGACCTAGAAAAAAAATGGGGGGTGGCCTTGGTACTCTTCCACCCTAAGATCAGTGGCCCTCCATGTGGTCTCTCCCTTGCCTCAACACCCATTCCTCCAAGTTTGCCCCATTCCTCGTGGCACATCACCCGTGAGTCTGTGCAAACATCTGAGACCTCACCACTCACCCCTGGCATACTGTAGGGGTGAGGGGGTGGGCTGCCAAACTACATGGCCCACACACTGCCCCTCCACCCTGGCGCTCTGGTGAAGCACGACTGCAGTGCTGCATACTCTGCAGAAAGCGTCTGAGGACACGACGTGATTCAGTCACCTTATTACCCAGTGGAAAAGCAGCATCTACCAGTATGTGTTTATTCATTCACCTACTACTCAACAAAATGTACACAGGCAGGTGCAGGATTTTCCATTGTGGTAATGTACATAACATAAAATTTACCATTTTAACCATTTTTCAGTGTACAGCTCTGTTGCATTAAGTATACTTACAATATTGTGCAGCCATCGAGCTTATCCATCTCTACAACTATTCTCATCTTTCCAAACTAAAATTCTGACCCTAACTCCCCAATACCTCTTACCTCCAGCCCCTGGTAACTACCATTCTACTTTCTGTCTTTATGAATTTGATTGCTCTAGGGACCTCAATATGTGGCATCATACATTATTTATCCTTTTGTGATGCTTATTTCACTGAGCAGAATGTCCTCAAAGTTTATCCATGGTGTCGCATGTGTCAGAATTTCCTTACTTTATAAGACTTTAAAATACTTCATTGTATGGATATGCCACATTTGCTTTATTTGCTCACTGTTGTTAGACACAGGTTGTCCCCGCCATTTGGCTAAGAGCACGGGTGTACAAATATCTGCTCAAGTCCCTGCTTTCACTTCTGTTGTGTGTGTACCCAGAAGTGAAATTGCTGAATCATGTGGTAATTCTATTTTTAACTTTTTAAGGAACCACCATACTGTTTTTCACAGTAGCTACAGCATTTTCAATTTCCACCAACAGTGCACAAGGGTTCTAATTTCTCCACATCTTCATCAACACATTATTTCTGGTTTGGGTTTTGTTTGTTTGTTTCTATTTTTTGTAGCCATCCTAATGTGTGGGAAGTGGCGTCTCATTGTGTTTCTTTCTTTCTTTTTTTTTTTGACTTACATTTTTTTTCTATTTTGATTGATTTCTCAATGTATAGTCCAATATAATACCAATTTTTAATGGCAGAAATTTAGTTCCACTGAAACTCCATGATCACTGTGGCCTTGATTTGCATTTCCCTAATGATTAGTGATGTTGAGCATCTTTTGTGTGTTTAGTGGCTATCTATAATATTCTTTGGAAAATATCTATTCTAATCCTTTCCTCATTTTTGATTTGAGTTGGTTGCTTTTTGCTAAGTTGCAGAAGATTTTTTAATATATTCTGGATATTAATTGCCTATCAGATATATGATTTGCAATTATCTTCTCCCATCCTGTGCACTTTAAGTTTTTAATTTTGATGAAGCCCAATTCATCTATTTTTTGTTTTGTTGCCTGTGCATTTGATGTCATATCCAAGAAATCTTTGCTGAATTCAATATCATGAAGCTTTCCTCCACATGTTTTCATCTAAGAGTGTTGTAGTTTTACACAGATGGACCTTGAAAGAATTATCCTTAGTAAAATAAGTCAGAGAAAGATAAACACTGTATGTTATTACTCACATATGCAATCTAAAAAATAAACTAAGAATATAAAAAAGAAAGTGTTGTAGTTCTTAAGTTTAGGACTTTGGTCCATTTTCAATTAATTTTTGTATAGGATGTGTGAAGAAAGAGTTCATCTTAATTCTTTCATATGTGAATATCCAGTTTTCCCAGCACCATTTGTTGAAAGGACTGTCCTTTCCCCACTGAATGGTCATCATACCCTTGTCAAAAATCATTTGACCATTTGGACCAGGGTTTATTTCTGGGTTCTCTATTGTATTTCATTGGTTTGTGTATCTTTATGCCAGTACCACATTATTTTGGTTACTATGACTCTGTAGTAAGCTTTGAAATTTGGTAGGATGAGACCTCCAACTTGGCTTTTCTTTTTCAAGCTTGTTTTATCTTTTCTGGGCCCCATGCAATTCCATATTAATTTGAGGATTGTGTGTTAGTCACTCAGTTGTGTCCAACTCTTTGTGATCCCATGGACTGTAGCCTGCCTGGCTTCTCTGTCCATGGGATTCTCTCAGCAAGAATACTGGAGTGGATTGCCATTTTCTTCTCCAGAGGACCTTCCCAACCCAGGGATTGACCCAGGTCTCCTACATTGCAGACAGATTCTCTACCATCTGAGCCATGAGGATTGGCCTCTCCTTTCTGCACAAGGGCTATTGTAATTTTGACAAGGATTGCATTGAATCCGTAGAACACTTTGGGTAGTATTGACATCTTAACAACAGTACGTCTTCTGATCCATGAACATGGGATGTCTTTTTAAATTGCTTTCAGCAATGTTTTATCATTTTCAGTGTATAAATGTTTTGTCTCCTTGGCTAAGTTTATTTCTAGGTATTTTATTTGTTGGATGCTATTTTAAGTGGAGTTGTGTTTCTAATTTCCTTTTTGGATTATGCATTCTTAGTATATGGAAACAAACTGATTTTTGTTATTGATTCAGTATGTTCTATGTTTGCTGAGTTTGTTTTTTAGTTCTGTTATTTGTAGAGTCCTCAGAGTTCTTAAATATTGATGATTTTACATAAGATCATATTATCTATGAAGAGAAATAATTTTACATCTTCCTTTCTAATTTGAATGTCTTTTCTTTCTTTATTTTATTTTATTTATTTATTATTATTATTATTATTTTTGCCCAATTACTCTGGCTAAACTTCCAATTGCACATTGAATAGAAGTGATGAAAGTGGACATCTTTCTCTTGTTCCTGATCTCAGGGGGAAAGTGTTTTTTTTTTTTTTTTAGCTTTTAGTCTTTCACCATTGAGTAGGTGAAAGTATGAGTATGATGATGTTTGGTTTGGGCTTTTCATATATGGCCTTTACTATATTGAAGAAGTTTCTTTCTATTCTTAGTCTATAAGGGGTTTTTTTGTTTATTTTTGTTTGTTTGTTTTGTGTCAAATGCTATTTCCTGGCAACAATTGAGATGATCATATGGTTGTTTTTCTCCCCTTCATTCTGTTAATGTGGTCTGTATTACACTGATTTTTTAGAATTGAGTTTAAGGATATTGAACCATCCTTACATCCCAGGAATAAATCCCATTTGGTTAGGGTGCGTGATCCTTTGAATATGCTGTTGAGTTGGGTTTCCTAGTAGTTTGTTGAGGATTCTGCACCCTCAACATATGTTTATAAAGGATATTGTTTTGTAGTCTTCTTGCAGAATCTTTATTTGGCTTTTGTCAGAGTAATCCTGGCTTCATAGAAAGGATTAGGAAATATTCTCTCCTCTTCAGTTTTTGGGAAGACTTTAAGAAGGATTGGTGTTAATTTTTCTTTAAATGCATGATAGAATTCAGTGAAGCTAAATTATGAGTTTTTCTTTAGATCTATTCAGATGTTCTATTTTTCCATGATTCAATTTGGGTAGGCTGTGTGTTTCTAGGAATTTGTTCATTTAATCTAGATTATCCAACGTGTTGGCACACAACTAGTGCATATGTTATAGTAATGGACAAGGCATGCACCATTCCTACCTCATATGCCAGAGCAGGAAACAGACAACTAATAGCTGTCATGGGGGAGATGTCAGAAAGGAGATACTAATTTAAGGTTGGGTGTGTGCTTTTGTTAGTGGATGAGTTCATGTGATGAATGCAAAGAAAGTTCTAAGAGCAGGCTCTTCTTGGATTACCTGGACCTCAGTGAGCTAAACCAGAAGCAGTTGAAATGAACAGTAAGCCATGGGAACTTCAGAAGCCTTCTGGGTTTTTCTGATAGGTATGAAAGTGTGCCTTTTCATACTGTTCATGGGGCTCTCAGATATGCAGAAGACACCACCCTTATGGCAGAAAGTGAAAAGGAACTAAAAAGCCTCTTGATGAAAGTGAAAGAGAAGAGTGGAAAAGTTGGCTTAAAGCTCAACATTCAGAAAACTAAGATCATGGCATCTGGTCCCATCACTTCATGGCAGATAGATGGGGAAACAGTGGAAACAGTGACAGACTTTATCTTTGGGGGCTCCAAAATCACTGCAGATGGTGACTGCAGCCATGAAATTAAAAGACACTTACTGCTTGGAAGGAAAGTTGTGACCAACATAGACAGCATATAATAAAGCAGAGGCATTACTTTGCCAACAAAGGTCTGTCTAGTCAAGGCTATGGTTTTTCCAGTAGTCATGTGTAGATGTGAGAGTTGGACTATAAAGAAAGCTGAACGCTGAAGAATTGATTGGAGAAGGCTCTTGAGAGTCCCTTGGACAGCAAGGAGATCCAACCAGTCCATCCTAAAGGAAGTCAGTCCTGAGTGTTCATTGGAAGGACTTATGTTGAAGCTGAAACTCCAATACTTTGGCCACCTGATGTGTAGAGCTGACTCATTGGAAAAGACCCTGATGCTGGGGAAGATTGAAGGCGGGAGGAGAAGGGGATGACAGAGGATGAGATGGTTGGATGGCATCACCGACTCAATGGACATGAGTTTGGGTAAACTCTGAGAGTTGGTGATGGACAGGAAAGCCTGGTATGCTGCAGTCCCTGGGGTCGCAGAGAGTTGGACACGACTGAGTAACTGAACTGAACTGATGAAAGACTGGCCTTCTTTTTGTCCATCTCTAGGATGGCCCAGTGATGTTTAGAAGTTGTGAGTTTGTAGATCAAGGTCCCTCAGCTGGATGACCATATAATTTACTATCCAAAAACATGCTGGTAATAAAACACCAGAAGAGGGGAAAACAAGGCTATTCTGGTCAAACTGGGATAAGGTGGCCCTCCTATAGCCCACTGTTGGGTTAGTCAGGTCTGCAGGAATGGACATGCAAAAATGCCAAGAGGTGGTGTGAACAGGTCTGGCTAGGTCTACCATGGGTGCTAGTGCCTGCCAGGCACAGCAGGCTAAGGCCAGCCAGGATACCCACCCTGAAGCAGCTCAAGCTCTCCTAGGTAATTCCCACCTGGCTTCCACATCTTCCCTCAGAGGGATACCCTCCTCCATCATAGTTAAGTTCCTACTTTCCTCTGCATTTTCCTTCAGAGTGTATTATCATTGCTATTGCATTTTCACATGGGTTTAATTTTGCATTGCATTTCCACATGACTGTCTACTCAGAGGAATTGAACCAGCATGGACAGGTCTCTGTTCTACTCATGGCTGAGCCCCCAAGCAGCCAGGGGACCAACAGATGGATAAAGAGTCCAGTGGAGAGCCAAGAATCTCTCTAAGCAAGAAAGACCTAAGATCTTCAGCCTGAAATTAGCCTCTGCCTGCCTGAGAGGCAGGGCCATAGTTCTTGCTATGTTCAGGCAGGTTCATTCCAAGTGGAACCATTTGCACTCAGCTCTGAGTAGACCATTTCTGGTCACTGTTCTGGGTGTCAAGAAAAAAGAAACACATGCATCCAGAGCTAAGTCACACCCAGCTAAAGGTCTGGGATGGTGGTGTTCCCCCCTCCCCACCATGGTTTCAGAGACCCTTGGACAGAGCACAATTTGCAACTTACCAGGACAGCAGCATGCAGAGTACATCAAGCTTCCTGGGGCTTCCTTGTCAAGGTACTACATTGAGTCCTACTACATAGGACCACTGAAATGTGTTGTCTCAGGGTTCCAGAGGCCAGAAGTCTGGGATCAAGGTGCCAACAAGGCCATGCTGCCTCTGAAGACCCCAGGAAGTGTCTGTTCTAGGCTTCTCTCCAGCTTCTGGTAGTTTCTTGGCTTGTGGTAGCATTAGTCCAGTCTTCATATCATCATTTTGTTTCTTTGTGGGTGTCTGTTTCTGTCCAAATTTCCCCTTTTTATAGAGACAACAGATTTGTTGAGTTAGGGCCCAACCCACTCCAGGATGACATCATCCTAACCTAACTAATTAAATTTACAACAACCCTATTTCCAAATAATGTCCCACTCTGAGGGACTGGGGTTTAGGGCTCCAACATATGAAACTTCGGGGGACACAGTCCAGCTCATAGCACAAGGTAAAGCATCTAGTGCAGAGCTATTTTAGCCTTGTGTACAGGTCCACTGGTCACCTGTGGCCCAGGCTGTCTACAGCAGCCAACAGGACATGGAGCATAGGACAAGCATTCAATAGCCTAGGCCCACATGGGGAGAGCAAAGACAGGGCTCCAGGCAAAGTGGCCTCTGCAAAGGCCCACTCTACCAAGTGGGGATTAAGGAGTAAATGACTAAATATATTTAGTAATTCTCAAGAAATCTGACGGTAGAATAAGTTCCCTGGAAGCAAGAGCTACATCAGGAAAGAACTGGCACCCAGTGTACCAATAGACTCTCTCTGAGGCCAAGTATGAGAGGGAGGGTGAGGAGGGAGGTATCCGAAACTCCCTTTGTCCTTACAGGTGATTGTACGGATAAGGGTACAAATGGTGACTTATTTCTTAACATTCTTGCCTTGGTCTGGCATTTCAGAATCATAAAAGAGCCAGGACATTCTTTTGACATGAGGGCACAGTAAACCTAAGAAGGGATGTATTACCCTTGCTTGCAATCAAAGCAATGCAGATGAAAACCAGAAACCCATCTTCTGCATCATTCTAGCAAAGAGTCAAGGTCTGGCCAACACCAAGGACCAAGACAACCTGCCCTCACATCCCACCTTAGGCAGTCCTGTTGGTAAAATGCTAATCACCTGTAGGGTTTGCATGCCTCCCAGGCTGTGACCACCTGGAGACTGGTCACAACCTCCAAAGGGCCACCAGCATGCCCCGAACTCTCACCCTGCAGCACTGCCCTTCCCCCTCACTCATGGATCCATTACTTCCTTCCCTGGGCCCACACCTGACCGCACACTCCACAGACATTATCCTTCTCTTTCCTCATTCCAGAGGTCCGCCCTGCCATGCAACCATCACCCCATTTTATTTTCCTCATCTTCTCTGTCAGAGTTTTATCTGTATACATGTATACTTCCCCCAGTCCCCAGTTGTAAATGCTCTCAAAGGCAGGGCCCTTGCTGCCCTCTTTGAGCCTCCAGGCCTAGGGCAGTACCCAACACAGATCCTCCATCAGTACTGGAGGATGCCAAAGTAAAGCCATGTCCAGCCACACTGGGCAAGCAGGTACATCATGGAGCAGCCACCCATGGAACTGTGGGACTATGGCAGAATATGAAACTTTAGAGAGCCATAAAATTTTTCTAGGTAGGGAGAAAATGTGACAAAATACGTATGATGATTTTATCATTTTCTGTAAAAAAAAAATTATACATTGCATGGAAAAAGGAAAGATAAAGGCTGAAAATAAACACTATGGTAATTAACAATATTAACAGTACTTTGGCCACCTGATGCAAAGAACTGACTCTGGCAAAGACCCTGAAGCTGGGAAAGATTAGAGGCAAAAGGAGAGGGGGTGGCAGAGGATGAAATGGTTAGATGGCATCACTGACTCATTGGACGTGAGTCTGAGCAAACTCAGGGAGACAGTGGACAGAGGAGCCTGGAGTGCTGCAGTGCATGGGGTCGACTTAGCAACTGAAAAACAACAACAATAAACATATTACTTTTGAAACAAACAAAAAAATCAGGAGAAGCTATTTTTTCAAAAAGAAAGGGGAAAGTAACCGTCAGCCCAGGAGAGTGTGGGGATTGTCCAGGGGTCAATGCCAGGGTCAGAATCCAGCTGCCCTGAGTCCCAGCTTGGCCACCCACAGCTGTTGGCTCTTTGCGAATCTCCAGATGCCACGCAGGCTGTCCCTTGTGACTCTTGATGTGGGACAAACGGCCAGCCCATCCCCAAGAAAGCATGGGGTCCTCAGTGGCCCTTTGCTTCCTGCGCCTGTCTCTCTCCCTTCTCCAGCACACAGGGTTCTTCTTCAGCGGGGAGGACCTGCTCCAGAGAGGAGAAACGCGGCGGGGGTGGTGGGGAAGGAAGGGTTGCAGTTGTCATGGTGGGGAGCTCCCGCTGGCATCCGGGGACAGAGGCCAGTGGCACTGAATACAGCCCTCCCCGAAGAGAACCTCGCCAGGCATTTGCAATGGACACTGGATTAAATGCTCCGGGTACAAACTCAGGGGAGCCGTATAGCGAGTCCTCCCTGGAACTGTGGTTTCTGTAAAACGGAAGCCCTCCCTGCTCCCCAGTGTCTCACAAAACGAGGACTAGCAAGGACGGGGGACCGGGGGAGGGGGCCGGAGGTGGGGCGTACAGTGGCCCTTGGTACTGTGGAACAGAGCACGATAGAACGCGGAGGAGCTCAAATCCAAGTCCCTGAGTAATGGTGGGGCCAGCACGACTGACCAAACAAGAGTCAGGGAGAAGTGTGGGTGTTTCCTTTATTTCCTCCAGATCTCAGAGCCACAATCTGAAGGAGCAGAGGGTTAACGGTACACCCGTCAGGACCAGGGCTTGCCTGGTACGGATTAGCTCAGGAGAGTGGCTGGTCAGCCCCGGGGACCGGGGACCAGGGACCACGGTCGGTCTCACAGAGGCGCAGAGCCCCCGGCTACAGGGAACGCGGTGCCGGCGCCCAGCCCCAGGACAGGCGGGGTTTTCTGCGATCGATCGGGTTCCAGGAACGAACTTGAGTGCTGACCGTGTGGGGAACCCCGGCCCAACCCTCACGGTCCCCGAGGATCCGGTCGGCGCTCTGAGCGCGGATTTCAGTCCCAGTGCCCGCGGTGTAGGTACCGAACTGGCCTTCGCCGGCTTCTGGCGGTCGCCTCAGGCCTCGCCTAGGGAGCTGCAAAGGCTCGCACCGGAACGGGGGCCCTAAGCTCCGGAGGAGGTGCGCGCGCAGTCAGCACAGGACAACAACCCGCCGACCCTGCCAAGGCCCCGCCCCGGCCCGGCCCGCCCCACGCACGGCCCCGCCCCGCTGCACGTAAGGCCGGAAGCGCGCATCCCGGGTGCGTCTTCCTCCGTCTAGGAGGGAGGGCGGGGCCCTGAGGCGGCCCGCCCCTCTCCGCCCCGGGGTTCCGCGCGGTAGGTCCCGAGCGGGCGCCCGCAGTCCCTGTTTCTTTGATACCGAGTCTTCTAACAACGCTCCTCCTCCCCACGGCTCCTACTCTCCCTTGCGGCTCCTCCCCTCCTGCCCACCCACTGGAGGCGGGGACGCAGCCCCACCTCCCCGCCAGGCCCGAAGAAACGATTCCGGAGGAGCAGCGCAGAGGGGACTGACAGACCACCGGGTGTCTGCAAGGTTCCGAGCGTAGGCTCAGACGGGAACAGACTCAGATCCCGTTTCCACCGCTCACTAGCAGTGTGGCCTCCAATAAGTTAAAAATCATCTTTGGTGGTGATAATGTCATACTGATAGCACTGTTGTGAACGTTAAAGAATCTGAAAAACAAAACAAAAACCTAGAGCAGTACTTCTAAAAAAGCATGTCCTATTTTAGTATCATCATTTAAGGTTTATTATAATCTGAGAGGTTTGCAATGGATGTTCACAAGGACCGATAATATGTATTAAATGCCTGCCATTCGGTGCTAAGCACTCAGAACTCGATGATGTAAAAACATATGGAAAAATGAAAGAAGGGACAAATTTGCCACTCACAATTCCAAATGATTTTACTAGTTAACTCAAGCATGACTTCTCACTCTGAGGGCTGAAACACGGTGGCTCTTTCAAAGAGCACAGTACAGAAAGGAGTGCCTGCCTGCTCTGTCGCTTCCGACTCTTTGTGACCCCATGGACTGTAGCCCGCCGGGCTCTGTCCATGACTCTCCAGGCAAGAATACTGGAATGGGTTGGCATGCCCTCCTCCAGGGGATCTTCCCCACCCAGGGATCGAACTCGCATTTCTTAGGTCTCCTGCACTGGCAAGCGGGTTCTTTACCACCAGGGCCCCCTGGGAAACCCGTGGAAAGGGGATAGGGCTGGTCAGCTTTACAGTGAGGAGACCTGACAACACTAACTCAGTCAGTTGATTAAGGTCACCATCAACGGTGACAAGGAACGCTAATTTTACATAGCCTAACTCCGGTCCATTCATGGAAAAAAAAAAAAAATCAGACAAATAAGAGTTAAGGTACATTTGACAAAATATCTTCCTACTCCTCAAGGCTGTCACAAGGTCATCAAAAACAAAGTCTGAGACCCTGTCACAATGAAGAGCCTAAGGAGACATGACAGCTAAATGTAATGCAGTAGAACAAAAAATGTAATGTGCTAGATGTGTAAACAGCTAAATGTAATGTGCTAGAACAAAAAAGTGCATTAAGTAAAAGCTAAACAAATACAGTATGGATATGGCTTTTTTTTAAGTGGTTTAATCAAGATCAAATGTATTTCTTCCTTGGGCTTTTTTTAAAAAAAATTAAATTTCTATTTCTAAGCCTGCTCTATCAAAGAATGTCTTTTCTGTAATTATGAAATTCAGACATCAGCATCAACATAACTTGCACTTTGACAACACATGTTCCTTTAGAGCAAGAAATGGAATTACTTGCAATGGGCAAAATACTTCTAAATTTTGGTTATTTGACTAGGCTCTTTATTAGTTATTTCATTTGGCATTAAACCTCAGTAAAATGGATGTTCTTACAAAGAATTTAAAGCCACACCATCTTTATACTAAAAGAATAAAGATTTTTATTAAGCATTGTAAGTTGCATTCAATAGCCTTCAGATACACCACACCACAACCCATCTACAATCAGTCAAACCCAACAGCAGTTCATTCTTGCACAATCCATGAGTTAGGGCAAAACTCCCTTCAACTTACAGTAAGATCCTACTCAGGTCTTGCGGGCAGGGATTGGGGAATTACATCTCATTTCTGATCACTAATGTGTGATGAAGAGCATCAGGAGAATTATATGAAAACGAATAAGAAGTGATTCTGATTTCAAAGTACATTGTTTGGAAACATTAACAAAAACATCAAAATGATATAAGTATACCTGCTTCTACTAAATTCTTGATGGGAAAGTTCTCAAGAACAAGCAATTTGTTTCCTGCTACAGAAGGGGGGGTTGGTTTTTTTTTTGTTTTTTCTTTTAAAGATCAAAGGGATTTTTTTTTGTTTTTCACAGAATTTCATATTTTGCTAATATGAAGGCATAAAACAGCAACAAAGAACAATAATGCATACAGCAGTGAATACACCAGGGTAATGTTGATATTTGAAACAGCTAGATAATTTGGGGGGTTTTAGAATAAATGCAACAGAGGTCAATAATCACAAAATTTTAAGGTTAGAGCAAGATCAGTCAATGACTAAACAGAGTTAACATCTTTTATAGGACTATTACTGATTATTAGCATTTTTGTTTTGCAAATGGGCACATACTGGTAAGAATGGAAGAAAGGACAATAACATGCATAATATTAACTACACACTTTAAAAATTATGAACCATGCAGAAGTTTAGCTCAAGTAAGTAGCACTAATGGTCTACATCCGATTCAAAACCACATAGTTCATTGATCACAGATGCATGGTATTAAGTCACGAAAAGTTTCAGAACACATTGTGTTGATTTTGAAAGGTCATTTGCATCTTCTATGATTTCAACTTTATCTCCATTTAACTTGCTTGTAAAGTATGTATGATGTACTGTATATTTAAAATCAGCAGAACGGCAATATTACTCTATAATTTTTTGTTTTGATAGTTGCACTTTTTTTCTTAACACAAAAGAACCACATCAACAGTGATGAATTTTAAGTAAGAAAGAAAAACTGTGGTTGTGCCTTATTTCTTTCATAATCATAAAATCAAAGCCTTAGACAAAGCTTTCTTGTGAACAGTAATGCAAAATCAAAGATAATGGCATACATATGGTGCCAAATGCTAAAAATGATATTTTAAGCTATATATACTTAAAGACTGCCAAAATTTGTTTTCTTTATAGTTCAAGAAACACAACTATAGGCTTTTGTCATTAACCAGTTTAAACTTTGTGTGTACTTCATTTTAAGTGTGGGAGTCAAATGCTCTTCATTTTCTTTCTCTCTTTTTGTTTTATTGTAGCATTTTGACTACAACTGGTTAAAACTAAAAATGTGTTGTTTAAATCTCTGATATCAAAGAGGGATCCGAATTTCCAAAGTCCTCATTTTTCTCTTACGGAAAGGAAAAAATGTACATAACTGTAGGCTCTCTTTCTCTCCAGATATTCCTAAATCCTTACCCTTCCAGCATCCTTCACCCTCTATAAAAAATAAGTTTACTCTTCTTTCTTTAAGACAGCTGCCTCCAGAGTATCAGCCCTGCGGCAAGCACTGTCTGTACTTAGTGCATTTATGTGAGGATTCGTATTGCACGTCTTAGAGTCATTGTTCAAGGCACTTTCCGAGTGGCCGGGGGCCCTGGTGTCGCCCGCGCTCCCGTTCATCTGGGGGGCCGGCTTCTCCTCAGCCACCGCTCCGTTTTCAGCCAGGGACCCGTCTGAAGACATGGCGGAGGATTTAGATTCCCCGGATCTCGACTTCAGTTCTTTGGCCACTTCTTCCGCTGAAGCAGCATAAGGAGGCTTGCCCTGTTAAAAATGAAAGACAGCAAGCAATAAGGCAGTGTTTGATAAACAGCGGGAGAGAGGAGACACCAACTGAGGCCTGGTGACTCACTGCAGATTCAAGAATAGAATGCAGTGAATGTGTGGCTGTGTCCCTCATTGTACGTACTCTCTACCCTATGCATGTTATACACTATAATATACTCTATGCACTCTATTATATATTCTATATATTCTCTATACAGTTGACCCTTGATCAACATGGATTTGAACTGCCCAAGTCCACCATTATATGGATTTTTTTCAATCAATACATACTATAGCACTAAATGAATCTGCGAATGTGGACTGTGGGTATGGAAGAAGGCTGACTATAAAGTTATATGTGGATTTTTGACTGCATGTTGTCCAAGCTCAACTTCATAGCCCATATACACTCTATAACATATACACTCTATAATAGATATGCAGTCTATATTATACACTCTATATCTGCTCTATTCATTCTGTTATATACTCTATCCACTCTGTAGTCCATATACAGAGTAGAACTGGAGGTACCTATCACCCTGACTTTTAGAGACACCCTCTTGTACACCAGGGGTTATCATGTTTCCCATCTGCGCTCATTTTCACACAGTGTCTTCTCATTTTAGTTTTGAATCCTGCAGTTCAGAAATACTCATGTAAACTTTTCTAGAAGTCAATACTTCTGTCATTCTCTAGGAATCTTGAGGAAAGTAATTAATATAAAAATACAGGAGGGCCAAAAGGGAAGAAAGATAATACTGAAGATTTCAAGTACATGCTTTCAAATCTCAAAGCCCTCACTCTCTTAAGGAAAAGTCCACTTCCCAGACTAAACACATACTTGGTGCAGTGGTGATGCCAGTGGTGATGAAGCAGTTCCCTCACAGATGCCTGCTACAGGAAATGCTTTGAGGGGCCTGCTTAATAGGGGACCTCCCTATAGTTACGAAGGATGCAGGAAGACTAAGAAGGAAAGCCAGCCTGTAGCTGTTTGGAAACAGACACTCCCTCTCTCCACAGCAAATTCCTCCCATGAGCCCAGACCCCTGCAAGGTTCGCCCACCACTATAAGCACCATGAGCACGGGGCGGCACTGCCTCCTGTCCCACGGACATAGCCTCTCAGAACTGCCCCATCAGGATGGCAAGAAGAGAGACAGGAAGGCCAGCGACTCAGGAAACAAGGTGCCAGTTACCATCTGTCCTTCTCAAGGGGCAAGAATACTACTTTCACTTAAAACTGAGCAACAGGAAGTACCACGGTGAATTCACACATTATACCAATAAAAGATGGAACAGCATCCCCAAGGACAATGAAATATGTCAGGATGGCACACCAGTAAATGATTAAGACTTCTTCCTCTGATTTTAAAACAGGCTATGACAGGACAAGATGAAGAGGAACACATATTAAACCAGGAAAAGCCATCAAGTGAGGTGAAAACCTTAGGGAAGAATTAAAAATAAAAGAAAAAATAATTCCAGAAAGAAACACTAAACTAGAAGAAACACCACTAAATAAACATCATATAATACCTGAAGGCTAAAGAAGAAAAATTTTAAAATCAGAGACAAAGGGAAATGCGGATCAAACTCACAATGAGATCCCATTTTACACCTACGAGGACAGCTAAACTCCATAACAGAGAGTAGCAAGCGTTGCCATGAATGTATAGTACTGGAATCTTCATACATTGCAAATAGGAATGGAAAATGCAGTCACTTTGAAAATTTTGTGCTCCTCAAATGCTTAAATACAGATTTACCGTATGACCCAGAAATTCACTTTTACATATACACTCAAGAGAACTGAAAATGTGTCCACACAAAAACTTGCACATTAAGACTACAATTAACAGTGCTCTATTATATATTTAAAAGTTGCTAAGAGAGAATATCTTAAAAGATATATTCCCATCACAAGAAAACAAAATCTGTAATTATGTGCAGTGATGGATGTTAACTAGACTTACTCTGATGATCATTTTGTAAATACAAGTATCAAATCATTATGATGTATAAATGAAACTGATATAATATTGTCAATTATATCTCATTAAAACTTGGGGGGGGGGAACAAAACCTGTATATATGTGTTCATAGCAACATTATTCCTAACAGCAAAAAGGTGGAAACAATCTAAATGTCCATCAACTGATGAACAAGTAAACAAAATGTAGTATTATCTAGACAGTGGGGCATCACTCAGCAATAACAGAGAATGAAGCCCCGGTCTGGGGTACAACAGGTGCATTTACATGGTATGTACAGAGGGCAAGTCCAGACAGAAAGCAGATCATCAGAGTCTGTGAGGGTGGGGTGTGACTGCTCATGAGTGAAGGGTTTCTTTCAGGGTGATAAATGTTCTGGAATTAGGGGTGACTGCTATATGACCTTGAGAATACACTGAATTATACACTTTAAACAGGTGAACTGCATAGTATATGAGTCACATCTTGAGACAAAAAGGAATCCAGAGTATGCCAAACACTGAAGACAGAGCACCAGAGATGAAAAGAAACCAAAGCAAAAGAACTGAAATGAAAAACAAGCAATTCAACAAAATTTTCTGACATAAAATTTGAAATTGCGCTTGGAAAAAAAGTATTGCATACTGACTGCAATGACCCAAGAACGACCAGCAGCAGGACATGTCACTAAACTTCAGCAAAAAAATGAAACCAGGGGTTGTGAGGAGAAGGGGGGGCAGAAAACAATTTAGGCATTTAGGTCAAAACTTCAAAGGTAAAGACAATTCAATTATTATTAGTCTTTATTAGTCTAATAAAGCAAAGCTTTATGACAGAAGAAAATCATATAACATGTGTAAAAGTCTCTTGAGAAGATGTGAACCAATATTTCTAATTACTGGGAAAATAAACTACTTCCAAATTAAATACTGTTATCCTAAGTCCTCCCTAGGAACTCACTAAAGAAAAGAGCCTCAGAGGGACAAAATGGACCAGCAGCCTTAAGGCTTATGGGGCACAGGACATAGTTATCTACAGACCCTGGACAAATGTAGCTGAAAGAATAATGTACCTTGGACAATGTAGACAGTAGTAGCATAGCTACTTTTTAAAATGTGAGAATGGTGGGGGGAAATGGGGGAAGCATATACCAATACTTTAATTGTTTCCTGTGATTGTGCTGGTGATGGAAGTATTAGCTATTCCTAACAGACTGTGTAGAAGGCAATGACACCCCACTCCAGTACTCTTGCCTGGAAAACCCCATGGATGGAGGAACCTGGTGGGCTGCGGTCCATGGGATCGCACAGGGTTGGACACTACTGAAGTGACTTAGCAGCAGCAGCAGCAACAGACTATGTATGCAATGTGGGATGAAATAAATGATGAGTTATGGGATGTTCTAATTTAATCATTCTCTGGGTTCTTAGGAACCAAGATTCTCAGGAGGGAAGAAAGGACATACTGACATAAATAGTAAACTTTAAGTCAAATTCCTGAAATTCTGAATTTGAATTAGAAGCCAATTTAATTGGGGTGGGAGAGGGAACAGCAGATTACATGTATGTATGTTTGCATGTGCATTATACATAAGCGTGCATGGGTACACCTTTTCTCTCTAGGTCTGTTCATAGGAAAAGCCCAGAAATGGTGACTTGGTCTAGAAGAAAGAACATACAGATGTAACAGAGATGAAACTAAATAAAAGCCTCACAGTCTTCAGTTTAAACTGGAAACATCAGTGTGGATTCAAGAGAATCCTACCTTTAAAAAATATAATAAAAAGCATATCGTTTGTGTGTGTGTTTATATATATATAAAGAAATAGGACTGTGTGTGTCTATGTACACAGAACACTAGGAACAGTGACTGACACTATGGCAGCTTATGTCCATCAGGGAGTGCTCTTACTGTGGTCTTCAAATGCTGTTTCTCACTTAAGAAACCAAGAAACAAAGAGAAATGACTGTCACTGGTTTGCTGGGCTGGGTGATACACCAGATAAGAAGCTACTGAAGACTAGAGGTCACAGCAAAGGGCCCCAGGGGCCAAGGACAGGTGAGTTGAGCTACAGAACCGTGTGTTGATCTATAGCTTTCCCAAAGGGCTGTAACCCTGAGGCACCAAATAGAAAGCGATGGGAAGCATCTCTTTATAAAAATATCCCAATAAAGAAAAACAAATGATGGAACGAGAGTATCTTCATTTTGCAATCTGCAATATATGAATAGATCAAGAGGTTCTGACACATAAAAAAAGATAAGAAGACAGGAAAGCACATGACTCCACTGCAGTCTTGCCACAGGGACAAACCCAAGTACAATCAAGCATCCAGATCCAGCTACTAGTGGGCAAGAAAGGTCAGAGTCACACAAGGAACAGCACCGTGAGTGTGCACTCAACAAAAGCCAGGATTCTGAAGGTAAAATAGCCTGAGTTGTCCCTAAATGAAGGAAAAAGGGAGAGAGGGAAACCTGTTGATTCAGAGAGGCTTAGAAGACATAGCAAACTAAAGAAAATGAATAGAATTCAACAAGTGTCTGCTGCTGCTGCTGCTAAGTCACTTCAGGCATGTCTGACTCTGTGCCGAACCCACAGACAGCAGCCCACCAGGCTCCCCCGTCCCTAGGATTCTCCAGGCAAGAACACGAGTGGGTCAACAAGTGCTTAGGAAGGCACATATGAGCGATAAAAAACCAGAAAGTGACAAGGAAGAAATTAGTGAGTACAAAACTCCAGGGTTGTGGTTATGTTGTACAGAGGGAGGCAGGAGGTTAGTGTTGTGACTGGGCCTGTGAGGCTCTTGGAAAGAGCTGGCAAAATGTTATTCATCACATGGGTGATGGCTACATGGCTATTTGCCTTATATCTCATTAAACTACATTTTGATATACATGTGTGTGGTTTTTTTGGTATCTAGGTTTTATAATGAAAATAAAAGTGCTTAAGCAATACAGGGATACATATTTCCCACTAATAGCTCAGGAAAGGCCCTTGTACCCACCAAGGATGACTGTAATGAAAACCCAGAGGCACTTTACAGGACAAGCTCCAGGCTGGAGAAGAAAGTTCTCCTCCTTCTCATAAACCTGCCAAGAGACTGGGAGTACCTCTGGCTCAAAAGAGCATTTTGATGAAGGCTGAGGACGGTCAGGGTGGGACTACAGGGGAGCCGGAATGAGCTGAGGACCTCCCCCTTGCTGGATGCTGCACGGCAAACAGGGGTTGCCTGGACCTGTTTTCAGGCAAGAGACTGTTTCTGTACTTGACTTATTTGATGTATTTCACCAAAACAGAAGCTATCAAGATGCTAAGATCATCTGGCAAAGGCAGAGTTTTATTTTCTCTTGGCCAACTATTTCCAAATTAGGATTATTAATTAATAAATGAGTCACACAAGTGTACTCCTCTTAATGTTTACAAGGATGCTATAGGAAAAATTGTGTACTTTGATTAAAGCCATAATTCAATAAATGAGACAAAGTAATACAGTGTTAGGGTTGATTGGTCTTTTAAAAACATCATTCTCAAGGGGAAAGTCATCAGAATCCAGGTCCTAAAATGGAGTATCCAAAGCGGAAGAAAGTTCTAGCTCTTTCATGAAGACAGACATGTGACTTTATTTTCTCATGAGCTGATCCTTTCACGGAAGAACTAGTAAAGATGGTGCAAGAGGAAAAGAAGATGCACTGTTCTAGCACTTACAAAGTCACAACTTCTTTTTAAATCCTAGATGTGATTTACCTAAATAATGGTTTATAATATAGATAGCATTAACAGCTTCTGGATTATTCTCAGCTAAATTCCCAGGTATAGCACGCGAACATGAGCTCACACTCTTTACCCCAAACGATGCTGAAACGGTCTGGGTTTGAGGGAAGGTACATTTGAAAGCCACCACGTGCCACTACTGGGCTAGAAGCTCAGCAGCTACAGAAACCTTCTGACGCCCCTCCTCCCTGATCAGGGACACCGAGACACTGTCAGGGAGAGCAGGTGCCCAGAAGTGAGCTGGCACCAGCACTATGCTGTGTTATTACCTGAATCGCACCCTGGTTTTTATAGCCTCTGCCATAGTACCTTCCACCTCTTCCAAATGTTCGGATCACTGGAGTGGAAATAACTCCTCTTGGACGCCTAAACACATCAAAGAGGACAAAAGCAAACAGACTTGTATCTGTTCAAGATAACATTTAAAATAATATCAAATGGATTTAAAGGTGTCTAGTCTATGCTATAGGAAGCACAGACTTTAATTGCTGGATAATTATTTAACAATGGTGTAAATAATTACATAATGTTGTATATAATGGAATTCTACATAACCACTAAGAATATGTTTAATGATATAAAGATGTTATTAGTAAGCTTATAATTAAAGTAACAAGTAAGAGGTTGGTTTTATTTATACAAATACATTTTCATTGTTCAGAACTCACCCTCTTGCTGGTCCTCCAACAGAAACTACCTGCAGGGGGAAAGGCCCACGGCCTCCTCGGCCCCGTCTGCTCCCAGCCCAGTGGCCAACCACGGTGCCAGCTATTTCTAGCTTCCCTCCCTGAGAAGGTATAGGTTGGATTCCTGCACAAAAGTAGATGAAAAAATCTTGACAATCACAGAAACAGCAAAGAGAAACAAGCAAGCATTTCCTTTCAAATGTGGTTTCTATTTCACATGAAGCCCTTTCTCTTCCTTTGTAAAAACTTCTTGTTTATTATGTGAACTATCTTTGCACAGTTTGATTTTAATTTGTCATTAAAAATATATCTGAAAGTAAGACAACTGTGTTGGCTACTGGAAGAAATCACAACTGAAATTAAGTTATGACTTAAAAATGAGTACAGCTGTTGGGTAGAAACAGATCCAGTACAGTACTGGGTATATATGGCATACCTTCTACATTATCAAGATAGAAATCTGCAAATTCAAATGTTTTTCTCTTTGGGTAATTACTTAAGACTTTACTACCTTAACCAAACATTACAGAAATTAATCGGTAAAGCTAGCCTGTTAAGTTTTATTGTGCTATTAAATGATAATTTCCTTAGGCAGGGTTACAAATATTCTTTGTATTCACTAACTTCTATTAATTACTGGTAGCCTGAATATTCCAAAGTTTTCTAACTTACCTAAGAAAATGCTTAGACAATTAACTGATACCAAAATTTCTGACAAAAACAAAACAAAATAGAACCTCAAGCATCTTCTTTTCTGGGAGATGGAAAGGATTATAATAAATTCTCCATCATCCTGGTGTTAGCCATGACCATAAACAGCCAGGTAGCGCTGTCCAACAAAACCTAAAAATAAGTCTTACATTTTCTAGTAGCCACATTAAAAAAGTAAAAACACATGAAGTAAATATTAATAACATATATTTTATTTAACCTAATATACCCACAATAACATGTAATCAATATAAAAAACTACTAATCGATATTTTGCATTCTTTCTATGTTAAGTCTATAAAATTAGATGTGCACTTAGGACACAGCTCAGTTTGGATGAGCCACAGTTCAAGTGCTCGAAAGCCACATGTGGCCAGCAGCTACTCTACTGGACAGTGGAGATCTGAATTCCAGACACAAATTGGTAGAAGTTAGGAAGCAAGTTCCTACTGTCATTTCAGACTAAACAACTTCTAATAGAGCAATGTTCATAGTCAGGACTCCTCCCCACCCCCGCAACAGTATTTTATCACAACTGCAGGCCAGCATGAGTTTCCAGGCAAGGGTTGCAAAAAGCTGAAGCTGATTGTAAAGCAGAGAACACACGTTACTGTGCATTGTGTGATGCGCAGTAACAGGAGGAAAGCACCCTGGAGAGCCAGGAGAACTAAGGGGAGGCAGGAGAGGGCATGCACGTCCAGTGGAAGAAAAGTGGCTTCTACAGCTACAGAGAGAGGGCAGCATTCATCCATAAGAGTATTACTGTTACAAAAGATGTCTCTAATAGCTTCTGTAAGAACCCAAGTAACTCAACTGGAAAAATATTTCTGATCAAGAAAGCCTTGCCTATCCTAAAAGTTCTTCAAAACTGTAATACAGACTTGACAGGTTTAGATTTGCAGTCCCAGAATGTGGCATTTACGACAAAGTTACAAGTCATGGGCTTCAAAGTACAGCGAAATCACAAGATAATATTTCAAAACTCAATGTTAAGACTTTTTCTCACCTTCACAAGCCTAATATGAATGAGAAGAGAAGCAATGGAAATTTAAAGCAGACTATTTTATTAGATTTTTCTTTACTGATGTTTCTCTGAAACAAACTGAAAAACTCTTTTATGCCAAAAACTGTACAATGCCCTTAGACTCTTCTATATAAGCATGATCCTCTTTACTGACAGAGGGCTGTTAAAGAACATGAAAGAAAAAAAAAATCCCTGGGAATGAATGGGCAACCTGTTCTATCATAGGAGGCAACGACTAGGAGGCGGGTGCACAGAAGGGCTGTGTGTGGACACACTGGTCCCGCTGGAAGACAGAGATGGGTCAGAGCAAAGCTGCCGCAGAGACCTGGGGGCAGGCAGAGGCTGGCAGATGAGCAGCGGCAAATACCAGAGTGGGGGCCTATCAGAAAGGACTTGGTGCTGGAGTCAGGACAGACCAGGAGGAAGAAGAGCCAGAAGGAGCGGAAGCGCTGGTGGACAAAAGCTCTAGGAGGAGGTGTGGCATAATTACCGCCCTGTGACTTGCTAGTCCTGCTGCTGTCACTGCCTGAGAAGGCTCCACAGTGTCCTGCTGCTGTCGCCACTCGGAAGGCACGGTAAGCGCCTGTCGCTACAGTTTCCCCATAGGGGCCTCCAAAGCCACAGACTCCTGTGGGACCCGGGTGGAGAGAGACGGGAGAAGCCATGAGGAACTGGGTTCAGGGAAAGCCACCCATGGGCTTTCAGGCAGAGAGACCCCCATGTCCTTCAGTTGCTCTTACACCATCAGCTGCCAGGGAAGAGCCTCCTGACCCTTCTCCTCACCAGCAACACAGGAATGTCACCTTGCCTGCTCTTGGAGGAACCTCTGGAGACCAAACACTATTGCTATGGGCTCTGCCACAGGCTTGGGAGGCAGCCTTAGTGGAGGGGAGTTCCGCTGACCCCACAACATGAGAAAATCTTAAACCACAAATGTCAGCAGAGTTTTTGGCTACACTGCATATATCTGCAATAGCTTCTATAGCTCCCACTCCCTTTCCCATATGTAATCTCTTCCAGGATCAAGTTTGTCCCTTTCTAATGTGAAGAGCTGTTGCTGCAAACTTCATAACTAAGGCTGAGAATTATTTACAAGCTCTCAACACAGCAGGATACAGCTCACTGAGAAGGCTTGCATGTTGTGTGTGTGTGTTTCCCCACACTAGGAAGTCCCTACCTACAGTGGTGGACACACTCACCTGCAAAGCCCCGCCCTCGGCCCTGGGCCGGGGGGACGGGCCCGAAGTGCCGTGGGTACACAGAGGTGGGGTAGAAAGGCAGCGCCGCTGGCGGTGGGAAGGGGAGTGGGTGGCTCTGCCGGGAGAAGTTCAGCCCTTCCAGGATGCTTTGTCGCATCTTTTCTACCTTGGCAGCTTGCTCGGCCTGGAAGTCAAGGACTGGCATGTGAAAACTTCATTCACAAATTCAATTCAATTGAATTGGAATGAACAGGAAAGAAATAAGACATGCTGACCACTATGCTACACCTACATGTGTGTTAACCGCTTAGTCATGTCCTACTCTTTGTGACCTCATGGACTGTAGCCCGCCAGGCTCCTCTGTCCGTGCTTATTTACCCATAAATAACACAACCACAATCTGCTCAGTGACACTTTTTTTACAGAATGCAATGTTGTTGTTGTTGTTGTAGTATAGTCGTAAGTCCTGTCTGACACATGGACTGTGGCCAACCAGGCTCCTCTGTGCATGGGATTTTCCAGGCAAGAGTAACTGGAGTGGCTTGCCATTTCCTTCTCCAGAGGATCTTCCTGACCCAGAGATCGAACCTGTATCTCCCACATCTCCTGCATTGTCAGGCGGATTCTTTACCACTGAGCCACCAGGGAAGGCCACAGAATGCAAACCTGACCACAAAAAAAAAATGCCAAAAAAAAAAAAAGATACTTCATCTCATAATCTTAATCTTATAAAACAAGAACTATTTACAATAAAATTTATTAACTGAAAATAAATTTGGTTCTCAAAATCAATGACTAAGTCCAGACAGGTCATGCTTACAGCATTCCTTCCACTCATGCACCAGGGAGTAGATGATGCCTAGTTCACATCTTTAAAATTTACTTTCCTATCAATTTAATTTTAAGTCAAACATTCACTTTACAGAAAAGGAACTGAGGCAAAGAGTAGCAGATGCTTCTTAAGGGATGCATGGAGTTCTTTAATAGAGAAAGGGACAATAGACCAATGGACCTGTCCATGGGGCTACCAGTGAGGTAGCCTGCACAAATGTGAACAATACAACTTGTGTATGTCAAATTATACTGTGAAAAAACAGACTGTCTTTTGTTAATAAATACATAAATATGTATGTGCTAAGTCGCTATACCAGCAACCAATCTTTAATCAGAGAACCTGAAAATCTGCTTACTCTGTAAATTTGTCTTTAAACTGAGCTTAACTTAAGCAGCATGTGGAAGAATACATGTTTTGTAGTCTAAGGTTAAAAAGCAAAAAGCTTGCAGCATGTGGGAGCCTCTTTTATACAAAGGGACAAGATAACCTGATGACCTACTTCACTTTATTTTTAAATTAGAACTTTAAAAAGTACACTCAATCCTAACTATTCTTGAGTTCCACGTCTACAAACTCAGCCACTTGCTAAAATTTATTGATAAACTCAAAATCAATACTCCTAGCATTTCCGTAGTCATCTGAAGACATTCACTGAGTGGGATAAAGCTTGGGTGGCCACCTAAGGTTACAGCAAGCGCAGCCCTGCCTTCACGCTCCAGCTTTTATCCTGCAAACATGTGTCCTGCCGCTGTCTCGAGTGCCCCAGGTTCTGTGTTTCGTGAATGATTTTGCTGTTAGAACAGCACAGTGCTGAGTATCGGCTAATGTTCCCAAGGGCCAGGCTGTAATGTGACATACAGAGAAAATGCGTGTGTTAGTTAAATGAGCTTTGTTGAAGCTGAGTTATAACACTGCCAGTCCTAAGTTCAATGTGAGTGAGTTAACAATATATATGCATTAAGAAGTATTTAAACAGATATATACATAAGATAAGGTTATTGTCTTATTGACTGATTGATGAAGATGATGCAACGGAAGGTTTGCAGGACCCTAATCCTGTATTTCCCCTAAGTGCAAAGATTCAGTATTTGCTAATTCAGTGTTCAAGGCGAATTCATACAGTACAATTACTGTGAATAATGAGAACCAAGTGTATGTCCTGGGCTCAGCTCATGTGGGCACTGAATTGACATTTAGTTACACACTGGGCTGGACTCAATCTCAATTAAATTCTTGTTGCATGGGCTCATTACAAATTCAGTAGGAAAGACAACAGATTAGCTAGTGAGCATTATTTCATTCTGGTTAGAAGTGGCCACCCCCTCCTCCCTGCCCCACCCAGCCTGCTTTCCTGCAACTGACCTGACCATCACAGAGGTCGATGAGTGGGGTCTTTTCCCGACTTGCTTTGAGGAGTTTGGACTGGAAGAGCTTCCCATCAAAATACATCCAAGGACAGCAGTGTTCCCAGGGTACTGGCTGGCCACATGCGTCGTTTGCAAACAGGGCCATGTCCACGCCACTCATGAAGAGAGCTGACAGCTGAATGCCTCGGGGGTCGAGGTTCTCAATCTTTAAATGGAAAAGAATTATTTCTATGGAGTAAGAGTACTACAGCATCCAATTCTTGCAATGTCTGACTATAACTCTCCATGGGTCATAAGGACACCCCTCAACCAAATGCCCCCTAAGTAGCCCTATGACTATCTTACAGTGACTTAACACTAACCTATCTGAACAGAAAGACTTTTTATGTTATTTAACAAATTTAAGTTTAAGAAGCTGTTTTATAAACATACTGAAATATTTCCATTTGGAATTTGTAAAGAGCTATACAAGTGTAAAGCAATACTGTATTTAAGGTGGACACATGACAAAGTAACAAATCATTCATGGTCTCCTTAGCAGTTAAGAAGCCCACAATTCATTTATGAAATAAAATTTTATACTGTAGATTCTAAACACTGGTACTATATTAACAGAAATGTGGTAAAAAGGAATATTGTATTAAGATTCTACATTTTTTAAGTAGTTATCTTAAAAAAATTATTTGGAAAGAAATTACTTGGTGTAATTTCATTCTAACCCTTATATTTTATGTCTACATTATTTTATATGTTAATGTTTTAGATAGCAACTTATTAATGAGACTGTCAAAATGTTTTAGGAGAAATGGATAGCTTATAAATGAAAGAACACAACAGCAAAAACACTGTATCTGAACCATGCAGACTATCAGAGTCTAGAGACTTGCATTTCTGGGTTCTTTTCCCTCAAGTCATTGGTGCTGTGAGCCTTCCCTTGTACACACAGCCCTTTCTTCTAGCAGCTAATGCACAAGATAATGCACAAGACAAATACAGTCAACTCTTGATTATCTGTGAAGGACCTAGTTTGTGGATTATCCAGGACTGAGTTTTAACTGTCCTGGTTTCTGTCTTCCCACCATGCATGCTTATTTTCTAAGGTGGTGGTATCTTGAGAAGGCAGTCTTCATGAGTACCAAACTAAGCAATGCCTAATTGTGGCAGGTAAACTAGCTTTTCATTAAAGAGAAAAAAGATGACTCCAGTGACAAATACTAATGAATTTATGATTATCTGACGCTTCGTGCTGTCAGTGTCAACATTCCCCATTATCAGTTAACACCATATTTTTCAACTTAAAAAAAAAACAACAACAAAACACAAAAAACAAAACTTGAAGTCAATGCAGTGAAGAACTTCCTGAATCTGGAGAAGTCTGTCCACCCCTCCCAGCCCACGCCTGCTGGCTTCTGCTTCTCCAGTGTAGTGCTGGAAAGAGTAACTAATAAGCATATTCAGTTGAGGGCAGGTGGGTTCGGGATGATAGATGAATTTTTACATTTATGAGCAGAAAGCGGGGCGGGCGCAAAATGGAAAAAAAAGGTCACCTAACTTACTTAGATCCCCACTGACTCTGCCTCTCTCTGCACCACAGAAAGGAAGTGGAAATTCCTTTCTTCTGAGTCTCGAGGCAGAAGGAGTTTCTCCTTCCTAAACGCTGACGCTGTGGGAGAGTGTCACAGCAGTGATGCCAGCCTGAGCCTGGGGGCCGCCCGTGCAGCACCCATCTCCTGGCCTCTCCGCAGGGACGACGGCAACGCGGCCTCTAGCCACTCTCTTGCTGCCAGTCCACAGTCTTCGAGGCCAAGGGAGGGAGGGCCTGGTCAAGGCTGAGGGGAGGGCAACGATGGTGCTGATGCTGCTCTGAAGAAAACACAGTGCCAGCAGTGTCCTTCTGGGGAAATTCGATCCTACTGTCATTTCTTAGTGGCTGGCGGTGCTGGTCAGACCCACCCTCAGGCCTTACTTAACTAACAGGGCTCAAAACCACTCTGGCAGATGGCCATCTGAGTGCTGAGGCTAAGAAATAAGAGCTGAAACACAGAAGCACCGGAGTTAAAACAAGTAACTTCCCAGTGAGCTGATGGGAGGGATGGCTACGTCTACCTTATCCACACACATATATATTTATTTTAAACGACCTTATCATTACTTAATGAACAGTCTTTATGGGTTTAAAAAATGATTTTCAAGTCAATTAGTTTTAGAAATAGCAACTACTATTAATTCAATAGAGGAAAATTCTTAGAAACTGTCTAAATAAAGTGAATAAAATGTCAATTGCTGTGTGGATTCACTTTATTCAAAAAAATTTTTTTTTAATTTTAATTATTTTACATGGCACTTTATATTTCATTCCCTACATGTTAATTATACATATAACACTATCTAATATTTATGGGGCACTTAATAAATATGTATCAGATACCACACTAAGTATTTTTTCATATATTATTTCATTAGCATCTCAACAACTGTATGTGTGACACTTCTGTTAGTACTCCATTTCAGAGATGGAGAAACTGAGTCACAGAGAGCTCAAGGTCACAAAACTGATAACTGGTAGCACCAGAATCTGAACCCTTGATCACAGAAATGGTTGTAAAATTCACATTTTAACCTCATTCTCTTATACCACAGAAGATAAAATATTCACCATTATTCAAAGTTCCTCAACTAGAAAAATACTGACAAGATTTTCTGATCTTATAGGAAACACAAATATGGAACGTATCTCCAGCCAATTAGTTGAAGAACCAAATTCCAGTGAGGCTTACTTTGTCCAACTTCTAATTACTGGGCAACAGACTCTTACTTTGATTTGGCATATTTACCTATACGCACAACAATTCTTACAGGTATCACAGACATGCTGCACGTCCCTAATACTGTCTTAAAGCTCTTCATTTTCCATCTTTTAATTCTGCACTTGGCATGTGAAACTGTTAAAAGAATTTAAGGCAATTATAGGGATGTCAAGAGCAAGGGAGAAAGAAACTGGATAAATATTAAAACTGTACAAAGATCTTTCTCTTCATCCTTTACCCACCCTCCTTCAAATACAGCATCAGTGCTGATTTTACCTTAGTCTTTATGTTTGTGCTGGTAACCTAGGAGAAGTGCCAAAAAAAAAAAAAATAACAGGGAAAAAGTGAGGGCTGTCAATCACTGAGCCACGCAGAACACTCAATTGTTCAGGGTTGTGGCGGGAGGACAGAGAATGGACAAGATGAAACTCTTGCAAATTCATTTAAACCAATGGTTTCAACATCTTTTCCCAAACCTCCCATCAGAATAGCCATCAAGAGGGCAAACTGTCAATATTAGGTCTTTTCTCTTCTCCTCTTTATTCTCAAAGCACATGATGGGCAAAAATGGGAGAAGAAAAACAGGATCTGGGCAATCCACAAACTGGATAATGGCCTCTAAAACAACAACAAAAATCAAGAGTTGACTATATCCTAAGCAGGAAAATGGTGTTTTATAAAAAAGCATTCTCACTGCTTTTGAAATAGCAAAACAACTTGAATGGTTAAGTGAAAAAGCAATTTTGAAATTTACTTTTCTATCACTGAATTTTGGGACTCAGCCTCTGCATAAGGATTTTTGTTCATTTAAATGATTAGTTCTCAATCTGATAACTGAGAGGATCACTGATCTTAAAAAACAAAGTAAAACAAAACACCCCAACTATTTCTCCCCCCAATGAATGCTGTTATTTTCCCTTTCAGCTCTTTCAGAATTTATGGTGCTCGTGAATGAAGCACTAATGATGCAGGCTGTCCTTGGTGAAAGGAACATAGACCTCCAGACCAGCAAGACCCAAAGGGATAGTGGTGGGCTTGAAGTAACTGCACATAAAATGGGTCTTTCTAAACACAGCTCTAGAAATGCCTGGCTTTAGATGAAGAATCAGGAGAAAATCATGAAAGCACTAAGACCTCAAAAGAACCAAAATGAAAGCTTAGAGTGTGACTGTCTTTCAAAAGTTATATCCTATGTGTTGATCCAAAAATGAAAAGGATATGGGAGAAGATGAACTTTGAGTAAAAGCAAGTTGATGGTGAATAAGGCTTGGTGGGCATACCTGATACCTGGCGGTCTGATTTTCAGAACTGGGATGTCAATACTGATGTAATAATCTAAATAAGAGAAACAGGAAGTAGAGGTAGAGGGATGGCACCACACTCTAGTAAAAGTATTTACAACACCCCTGAGCACAGTCTGCTGATGAAGACGGTGGTGATGGCACCACACTCTGGGATACAGGACGCAGAGCCTGCACTTAGTACCAGCCTCTCAGGGGACACCCGGCCAAACAGTCTAGAACGAAAACTTAAATTCAAAACCATTAAAAAAAAAAAGTCTGTCTAACAGAAAAGTTTAAACTACAAAGTAAAGAATATAATTTGAGGTAGACTCTCCTAAGTTTGGTTGTCTTTAGTTTAGCTTGTTTCAAAGTCATCAGAAGCCTAAGGTGATCACAAATGACATGGGCTCCACACAGTTGAGGGTCAACACTGGATTACTGAATTTAACTCCATAATTTAGGGGCAACTACAGATTTATTATGCCCCAACAGTAGAATACTGAAAACCCATCAAATGAGCCTCAAACTCTTCTGCAGGGAAAGAACGCCTTCATAAAGAATGGTAAAAAGATCTAAAAGTGAAGGCGATTTTGTCAAAAGAGATTACTTAATTACAAATCAAATTTTGTAAAAAAACAAACAAAAAACACAAACCACAACAAAAAAATCAAACCAATGGCAAAGAAAAAACTAAAACCCTTCACATTAAAAAGAAAAGGCGGATCCACTAATTTAGCTAACTCTGAAGTCTTGAACTTTCTAAAATTTAGTGTAGAAATTAGAAAGCAAGTACAGCCACATGGACACAGTGACTAATAAAAGTGCACTGAAAAGATAAGCACACCAAAAACTCAGGTGACAAAATGGACAAAACTAATACTGTCAAAATAATCAAAGGAAAAAAAGAATACTAGAAGGGAAAATTAAAAGGAATACGATGTTAAATGCTGACTAAAAGGGCACAGGAATGATGACATAACATTGTTCTTCAAGTGGTTTTTTAAAAGGGATTTATAATACCAGGAGGGCAAAGACTATTTTTTTTTTTTTTTTTTTTAGAGAAAACGAATGTTGTATTTAGGAATAATAGAACGAAATAAGAAAAAGAATCCTGGCCAGATGTTAGTAAACTCTTAGGACCAAGCCCTCCCAGGGTTTGGGATCCCCACCTGAAATAAAAGGCAAGTTTACTTCCTGATGTGAAAAACAAGAATAAACACCCACTGGTAAACAAGGGAAAAATCTTTATCGCACAAAAGTAGACTTGACTGTTTCTATAACCGGGAAGGAAATTCCTTTTGCCCTGAAGGCTCTCAAGTTCACGGCATTAGTATTACTAGTTTAGTGCACTGAGTGGCTTGAGCCATGGCTCCGAAACAAGACCTCCCAAAACAGAGAATGAGGTTTGCAGATTACCTTGAGCTCCTGCAGCTGATCAGGCTCATAGAGTTTGGGGGACAGCGCCTGAGCCAGGAAGGCATCCAGCTCCTGGCGACGCAGTATCCGTGCTCCAGGCCACTGCACCATATACCTACACGGGGCGGAGAGAGAGGGTCTGGCGTTAGGATGGAGCAGTCACCAGTCACAGGCACAACCTGCTATTCCTGTTCTAGGGAAGAGTCAGGATGACGCAAACCAAGGAGGCCTACACGGATTTCTTAGCCAGCTTCTCTAGTTTCAGTGGATGATGTCAGTTACAAATGGAAACCTAATCATTAGCTGGGCTGATCAGAATGTTTGATTCTGGAATAATATAAAATAGCACACTAGATAAGAACACACTGCAAACCAGCTGGTGTTTTTTTTTTTTGATACAACTTATATATTTTTCTGAGAGGTTTAAACTCTGAAAACACATGTTAAGCACCAATTTATATGATTTATCTATTTTAATTCAACACAGGGTACCTGGGAGGCAGGCCCTAAGTCCAAATAAGCAAGATTTACCTCCTGATGAAGAGTTAGGTCTTGTGTAAACCACCTGCAAGGAAGAGGCTCTGGTGGTGGCAGGTGAATGCCCTGCAGTGGAATAGGAAGTGATAGCAGGGACAATAAAGCTTCAGGCTTCAGAACCGGCACCTGAAGAACTAGTGCCTGCAATCCCTGGGGTCAGTGCAGACTTACTGGGGCCACCCTGGTGTAAGCACCTAAAGGGAAATCAATTTCTAAATCTTCAAACTTCCATTTGTACTATCTGCCTGAGAACAGCCAGGTGTCCACAGTCCCTTTTCTCTACGCATCACTCCCCTTTACTCACCTTGCCGCTCAGCCCTGGCCCAGTGGCAACCTCCAGAGCACTAGGTAAAGGCACAACCCCAAACAGTATTTGGGTGTGAGAGAGTGAGGAGCTAGCCATTAAGAACTTCATCATAAGTCTCACTGCATATCCAATGGTCCCTAAGTCTACACTCAGCAAACTTGAAGGATGACTTAATCAAGTTGCCAGCTGATCCCCCCCAAATAACTCCTGGTGATCCCTATGTGATCTCTGGCAAATAGCTTAAAAGGAGTCTGGAGAACTGTGACATGCCTAACAAAGCTCTTTTCCAGTACTGTCTGCTGAGAAAGGTTTCTCGGTGCTTAAAATTTAAGTTGAGAAAAATTAGGATCAGAGTCAGTGCAGAGCCTTCTCTCATTTTGGTAATAATTAATATTCATCCACAGGAATGTAAACATAAAAGGGGAAGAAGAAAGTTCTATCCAAATGATTAAGAGGAGTATCTTCAGTAAAAATCCCAATAGAAAAACCAATGTGATCGCTGGTGCCAGGCGCTAGTCTGAGTATTTACACACAACTGATTCCTTAAGTGGTCACAGCCACTCTGAGGTGGGAACCTTTACTGTCCCATTATTAGAGATGGTGCAGTGGAGGCACAGAGCTTATGTACTTCATGGTCAAATCATGCAGTAGAAGCAGAAAGGAAATGCAATTTCAAGGTAAACAAACAAGGTAAACAAGGTGGGTGTTAAATCTCTATGGTATTTAGATTCGATCAGATATACTTAGAAGTGTGATGTAGAAGTTTTATTTCATTAAACTGTCAACACTTACAAAGATAAAAATAATACCCTATGCAATTGGTTGAGTGCCAAATATCTTAAACAAAAGTCTTACTGAGTTTTAACCAGAGTTTGATGCAAGAAACAGCAAATCTGAAGAAAGTCTCCCTATTTCTCTCTGAAAAAAATTACTGTGGAAAGATTGTCCTCAATATAAAATGTTCTTTGCTTAAGTATCCATATTATGCATCCCTTTTATTTCTTAAAAACTGTGGTAAAATACAAATAATATCTGAGCAGCTAACACTTCAAAATACACATAACAAAAAAATCTAGCATTTTAATCATTTTTAAATGGACAGTGCAACAACATTAGATATATTCACTGTATTCCAACAGACATCCCCCACCATCCATCACTACAACTCTTTTCATCCTGCAAACACTAATTCCCCTCTTCATCCCCTAGCCCTAAGGCTAGATGTTTCTTTAAATATTATGATTCCGGAAAAGACTGTTTCGTGGACAGGTTCTTTTTCTCAAGTTCTTTCCTGGTTTTCCTGGCAGCAAAGACTCTCAGCACTCAGTTTAGCTGTAATAGAAAGTCTTTTGGGTTACTGGTGGTTTAGTCGCTAAGTTGTGTCCAACTCTTTGCGACCCCATGTACTGTAGCCCGCCAGGCTCCTCTGTCCATGGGATTTCCCAGGCAAGAATACTGGGAGTAGGTTGTCATTTCCTTCTTCACAGGATCTCCCGAGCCAGGAGATCAAACCTGGGTCTCCTGCATGGCAAGCAGATTCTTTACCAACTTAGCTATGAGAGAATCCCAATACCTACCATTTCCTCCGTCTGACTTTCTATTTACATTTTAACAAAGTTAACCTTTATCTCTTTTTCAATTCAAGTCCTCAGAAGGACCTTCTGTATATAGAAAGAGCATGATGTGTGTTCCTAAAGATACGCATATACACAGACAGTCAGCTTAAATACCACAGAACGTGGACAGTACCACAGGCACTGCAGTGAACAAAAGCTGACCCTTGGTAATCTCCTGTGTCCACACTATCCTTATCTGTGCACTGACAGTGTTTTCAATCTCTTTATGTTTCTCAGTTTTCTCCAGACACTCTTTTCCATGTCTTCCTCCTGGGCCAGGCTTTAAGTTTTCTACCACTGGAGTCTGAGGGTATCTGAGTTCGCTGCTAGTCACCTCTCCTCTCACTGCCCTTTAGAAGCATGGAAGCGGGACTAGAGCAGGTCTCCAAGTCGCTTGGTGGACAGAACCAACGTGGTCTGCCTCTGACTGGCACATTTGGGCAGCTGGACCCTGGCTATGCTCCTGGGGGTGTTGCAACAAGCTGCACTTATTTGGGGGGCTCAAACCCTCTATCTGCCTTACTGAATTCATTAAGTTCCTCCAGAAAGTAACTCAGTTTGTCTTCTCAGAAGCTCTCTTGAATAACGACCTTATCTGTCTGGTCTCAGCTGTCCCCCAGGAAGGCTGCTTTCTGTTTCGTTCTAGACACGTGCTTCGCCCTCACACTGAACCTCTGCTCAGATGCTGGCCCCTCCTTGGCGACACTACAAGGATTCGAGAGATTTGGCTATCATTCTCTCCCTTTCTGATTGCTCTATTCATTCGTTCACTTATTTATGGCTATGCTGAGTCTTCACTGCTGCACACTGGCTTTCTCTGGTTGTGGCTCGCCAGCTTCTCACTGCATCAGCATCTCTCGTTGCGGGGTCCGGGCTCCAGGGCGTGTAGGCTTCAGAAGTTGTGGCACACAGGCTCAGCATTTGCTGTGAATGGGACTAGCTGCCCCAAGGCAGACAGGATCCTCCCAGACCAGGAATGGAATCCGTGTCCCTTGCATGGGCAGGGAATTCTTAACCACTGGCAAACCAGTGAAGTCTTGATTGCTCTTGCAATGTCACATTTGGAACATATGTAACATATGGGTGCTGACATCACTAGTGAAAGCACAGAGAAGATCACCACCTCCTGGCTAGCTTATGCCTGCCCCAAAGGCAGAAGTGGAACCTCATCACGAAAGAACATCAGCAAATCTAGACTGAGGAAGAGTCTACCCAGAGATTGACAAACTGCACCCAGGGGCTGGCTGACTGTTTTGAAACACAATTTCCTGGAGCAGCCACAACCATTAGTTCACATGTTGTCTAAAAGACATAATCTCCAGATCCTTGATCTACAAAACACACCAGTGTTTACTCTTCAGAAACATCTCTGCATCAACCCAAAGAAACCTGAGAAGCTTGGAGGAGACACGCACCTGAACACAAGAACAAGGCAAGATTTCGTTACTAATAAAGGATGTTACTGTGATAACAAGAAAAATCTGAGTATCTGTAGATGAGATGTATCAGTATTTTTCTGATTTTGAGGATGTCCTTTTTTTTTTGTTTTAAAGGAAACAGATTAGGGGTAAGGGCGGTATCATACTCACAGCTTCCATTCAAGGGATTCAGGACAAACACCCAGGAGAGAAGAGGAGATAGCCACTGCAGTAAAAATTTAATATGTAGGGAAACTGGGTGAAAAATAGCCACCAACTCTTTGTACTAATCTTGCAATTTCAAGTTTAAAATTACGTTAAAAAAAAAAAAGAAAAGATTAAGGAAGGGAAGAGCCTTTGGGATGACAGCCTGGCCTTGTGGCTGCTGACATTTGCCCAGCCCAGCCATCAAGGCCAAGGGTCACGCTGCATGGCCTCCAACAGGGCCTTACCATATCAGGGACACCAAAGCTGTCCTTTGATGCCCCTCCCCCAACCTCAGCAGACCGCTGTCACACAGCTGCCATTTCTCCAGAGAAAGACACTGGGCCCATGGGCCCTAGACTATAGCCTGTCCTTGGCAAGCCCTTGGAGACACAAACCAACCTTCTTACTCATTTGCACCTGCCCCTGCCTCCACCCCCATGCCCTTCATTCCACATTCTTAGCAGGCCATACCCATCAATCAAACAGGCCATGCAGGGTAAACTCCTTTACCTGCTTGTCCCTGTGGCCCAAAACACTACTGAAGGTAGAACAAATTCTCTTCGCAGAGATGGACCAATCCATTTACTGATGTCCTGACTCGAAATCCTGAGACCTGTCCCACAAGCCACTCTCTCTCATCTCTTCCCAACCAGTCCCTCCTCAGGATATGAAACTCTGTGAATCTTACCAAGTGGGAAACTCCATGGCTTCAAGCCCACACTGCACACAACAGTCTCTGCACAACCAAGCAAGTCTTCTGGCTTCCACCCAAGTGGCAAGTATGAGGGAACCTGTGCTGCACTCACGGAAGCTTCTTGACACCCCAGAGATGAGCACAAGAGGAGGTTCAATCAAACTCAAGATTACTCGTTGCATTTATTAACCTTTTCAAGTTCTAAAATGAGTATTTATTTATAGACAACCATAAAACAAACAAATGGGAACCAGGACAATCCTGAAATCATGACTTTCCAAAGGCCATCTGAACAGTGCCTAAAAGAGGCAGAGCTATTTTTGGAGTAATAGCCAAGGAAGTCAGGAGGACTGAGCCAAAGAGTGGGGCCTGATCACTGTCCAGTCTGCACTTGCTAGGTATCCCAGTACCCCATGAGGTCCAGTGAACGAACAGACAAGACGTGAAGGCACCACAATCCCAAGCATCATGAAATACTTTGAGCACTGTGCAAGCATCAACAGAGGCTGTCCCGCACTAACACATGGCTGCTTCTGGCCAAGGGGCAACCAAACAAGCCCCAAGTGCCACACACATCGCTCTTACTCAGGGCCCAATGGGACCTTCAAGCCAGGCATACAGTAGACAGTTAGCTGTCTACCCAACAGATTAAATGCCACACATCATTTTAAACTTGGAAGAGAGAAACACAAAGTAACAAAATTCACTACTGCTATTTGATCTTCGAGTAACCCAAAGTCTTAATGTTTTGGCTAATATAAAATGAATTCCATCAGAGGAAATCAGAAGATTCTAAAACCAAAATGAAAAAATTAGTCTTTCCCGCTAGGCTAATCCTCAATGGAGATAAAGATAAGAAAGCTATATTCCATGCTATATTGCTGTTGTTGTTTAGTTAAGTCATGTCTGACTTTTTTGCAACCCCATGCACCATATCCTGCCAGGCTCCTCTGTCCAGGGAATTTTCCAGGCAAGAATACTGGAGTGGATTGAGATTTCCGACTCTAAGGGATCCTCCTGACCCACGGAATGAACCTGCATCTCCTGTGTCTTCTGCACTGGCAGGTGGATTCTTTACCACCGGCACCACCTGGGAAGCTCAACAGAGCTGCTTTTGCGTTGGCCGGGAATTGAACACAGGCCTCCCGCACGGCAGACGAGAACTCTACCACTGAATTACTCCAAAAACCAACAGTTTCCACCCAGGCCTTTGTGGCCCATTGGCTGATAAGAGTCTGGAAGAACACACTGCACATATCTGGGTTTTTAACCTTCTCTCCAAGGCAGGAGTCAGCCCCTTAGAGACGGCAGGTTCCAGGGCAGGGCAGACACAGGACAAACCTGGGCATCCTATGGTGCCAGAAAGCAAGGACATGCTGGAGGTGGGTGGGGGGGTACAAAGGACATAGGAGCCACTTAACAAGATCCCAAGGCCTGAGCTGGAACAAACTGAACAACCAAATAACAAGGTTGTATCAGGTTATAACCCTAGAAAGAGAGATAACCATAAGTCCATACTGACCTACATATGATTAAATAAATGAAGGAGGAAAAAGAGACACATTTTACCAAAGAAAACTTACTAATATATAAACATATAATATAGTCCCCCAATAGTCTTCAAAAGTTTTAACATTTAAAGGATAAACTATGTTTAAAATCATCATGATATCTACATAAAATACAGGTTCATCAAATGTTACCTATTCTATAAATACACTATATAGCATCAGCTCAAACTCATGTTGTATTTACATGGCCTATGTTTCTATAGTATATGAAAATATTAGACGAGGACAAATTCAGCTGACAACCTGATTCATCTGGAATAGCCCCAGGTGAATCTGGGGTACTGTGCTGTAACCTCATACAGGACACTTCTTTGAGAGGCATCTGTACAAGTGCCTGCTGCAGAACATGCAGTGGCTGAAGAGGCCGCCAGCGGCACCTACCGTAGGACGCAGCACAGCACCGTGAGATGAGTGGGCACGCTGGCTGGGTTGAGCATGGCTGGTGTGTCTGACCTCATGCAGGCCAGGAAGGCCCTCATTCTGCGGTTCTTGTCCTCCACCGCCTTCCCCAGCCACAGTCTCTTCAGATTGGGGCAGGTCCATTCCCTGAAGGCAAGAGCTTCCACCAATTCCGGGGTTTGCGGCGATTTCCCTTTGTAAGCAGCCCACTCTTTAATGATCACTGGTGAAACTACAGAAAGGAAAATGAGAGAACCATTTATGCCCTACCTTAGCTACTTTAAGCTCAACAAAAACAGCTCTAGTAATTACAGTATGAAGATGTCACTTCTTGTGTAACAATGCATTCTCTCATTAGTAAGCCATCAGTTCTCAATCCTCAACTCTAAAATATTTTGTTTTCTACTCTATGCACTTCGGTGACTCACTCAGAATTCCAGTCAGACCATCAATAAATTTTTTCTCAACTGAAGATTCCCCATAAAACTAGTATGTGTAAATCAAGGATGTTAGACAAAATTTGCTTTAACATTATAAATCCATTAATAGTTTTAGTAATAACAATGGGTACAACTTATACATATTTTGTGATCATCACAGAAATCATGGAAAATCCAATTTAGATAGCTGATCTTTTTCTCCATGTTTTTACTAATTAGATCTGAGAAATAATTTGTACTTGGTAGCCACTTTACTTAAGCATCTCCTACTGTAACAAGTATAACTGTTAAACTCCATAAATAATTTTTTATCAGCAGTAGTTTTACCACTATTAGCAGGAATTAATTCTGGAAATACAAACAAGCACATTTCTCCACAAGATTCCCAAATAACTTAAGGGAAAAACAGTGATGGGGAAAGGAGAACAATGGAGATAAAGCACACTGCACAGACGTATGTTAAAACTTCTCCCCGAAGTGCACTGACATAAACAGTCAGATGGTAAAACGTGGGTGTGCATTTTGTAACAAATAGCTTACTTTGGTCAATAAACATGAGCGCTGAAGAAGGACCACATGGAGACCCCCATCCTCCCCTCACAGGGCTGACAGCAGGTACAGAAGCCAGGATGGTGCTATGATTCTAATGCGATCTCGGACACGTCAATTCTATCCAAATAACCATACCCCCTTCCTGGGCTCATTTTCCTTAAAGTAACACGAGGCAAACTGAAGACTATGAAGAACCCAAATCCCGACAAAATAAATGATTAACTGGCTCATCTCCAGCTCCACACCAAGTCTAGACAATCATCTCTTCCAATGTCATGAATAAGTTTAGGAGTTAGATACTTGGATAGGCACGATTGTTAGCAACAGGAAAAGCAAGCTTTGCACAATCAACCCCAGTCAAGTCAGGTGGGAATATGCTGCAGAGGCGCGGCCATGACCAGCCATTCTGCAGGGACCCCAACCCCCAGAAGCAGGCTGCTTGAGCAGGGGTGCAAAATCAAGACAGTTTCTGAAAATTCTTTTACAAAAAAGTAACTGTTTTGTCATTGAGGAAATCCCTTTAAATCACATTTGAATATCTTGGTGTTTAAATGTTGAAAAAAACTCTAAACTTAAAAGGTTTCAAGTCCATCGAGTCAAAACAGAGAGACACATGTATAAATAAATACATGCATCTTTAAATTTATCTATATTTTAGGTGCCAGACACAAACTCGTAAGGTCCCTACTGTCCAGCAGAGCCTGTCCTTGGACTCACAATCTAGCCGCCCACCCCCATTCCCGCTGAACTCCAGTGCACACCGCTCCATAGATTGCCACCTGTATGCAGAGGGGAGGCGTTACCACCACAACGCCCTCCTAGGTGCAGTACACCCCACCTCCCTTTGTTCCAACTACATTCACAGAGGCTGGCACGCTGTCAGCCCCAAGAAAACAAGTGAAAGGAGGTTACAAGATAAGCCATTAACCAGTATACTGCGTTTCCAGTCAGTCCGCAAAGTTTATTTTCATGCCCCCGCCACAGTAAAAATGAATAAATCTATTTCTTCCATGTAGCATCTTCATTTTGGTGACAAAGATTTATTTAATGGAACTAATTATATTTTATCCTTGACTGTTAATGTGGGTTAATAACCTAGTTATCTAAGGTCTCTCAGGTTCTTCCCCCAAAACACACACACACACACACACACACACGCACGCACACACGCATGCACACAAACAAAGCCTAAGCTTACTGCATCTTAAAAAACTCAGTTTATAATGCCAGGGTCTCCTTTGAGTTTTCTCAACAGAAGCATTCTTATTAAAACTATATTCATCTATTTATATCTTTCCCCTTTGTCATCTCTGCTCTTGCATCTCTTCAATAATTTTTAGCAATCATTTTATTGTTTTCATTCTAGAAATAAATTTTTGGTGGAGGATTTTCATTCTCAAGGTCAAAAGGCTTATAGCTATATATACTTTATGCATCAAACCCTACACTAAAGTGAAGTGGAGGTCAGAGATGCCAACAGTCCCTTCACAAGTTCTCCTGAGTGTTCCCTGAAGCTGCCCTAGACAGCTGTTTACACCAGTTGGGGCTCCAAGTGTGCCTGAATTTACCTGGCCTGATGCTGTGTGCTGAGAGCCTATTCAGCCTGCAAAGGCTACAGATGAGCTCACACCTGTGCCTGAGAATTGCCACCTAAAACTCACCTGGCCATCCCTCCCACGTCCTGGTAAACAGACTTCCCCAGTACATGCAGGGGAGACTGTAGCTGTAAAGAAGTATTAGATAGAATAGCTTCCTCTTATATTCTAAGCATTTTTGTTGCTATCTGCACTATTCATGACTAGAATGTTCAAGTCTAATTTGGGAAATACATGTTCTCAGAGAAAATAAATGTGCAGTAACAAAAAAGCTTTGTTCCGAAAGCAAAGATGCCCTGATTTCCTTTATTTTCTACATATATCTGTTTTTAAACTGAATACTTGGAGATCTTTTGTGTATACCACCACTTAAGAGCTGTGGAAACTTTGGCCAATCGCCCAACAGATGTTTATTGAGCACCTACTATGGAGTGGGTGAGGTAGGAAAAGTACCCAGGGCTCAGATGTCAACCACCATGTGCCAGTGTGAAAATAAGGGTCTTCCTAAATTCTGAGGCTTGGGTCCCTCACTTCCCTTGCCCCAGCACAGCCCTAGAACCAGGCACTAAAATAAGGGAGGCCAACAACTCACTCTGTTGCACAGTCCAGTTGAGGAAACGCAAAGACACCTGCACCTCTGTTATGTGCTTACAAGTATGTGAGGTCAACTTATGTTTATAGGCTCATAACATTAGATTAATTAAAGGTTAGTGTTTCATAAATGAATGAATTCTGAGGGACATCCCATTTTCAGGTAGACACATAGCAGCCTCTGTGTTCTAAGTTCATCCAGTGGGGTGGCTGATGCACACAGGGTACCTTCTCTCCCTCTGCCTCTGCACTTCTTCCCAAGTTGCTGCTGCCCACTGTTTTACTCCCTGAGCTCTCCTGAAGCTCACAGGAATAAGCCGATGCAAAGCAGCCAGCTAACAGCACGTAATCTGGGATCTTATCATTTTTGAAAAAAAAAAAAAGTCATACAGGGATTATCCAAGTGGTACGGGACAGTTGGATTATGGGAACACTCTGTGTGCAGACAAGAGCACTGGGGTATAAAACCCTCTCTGTGAAGGCACCATTTTAGAAAGACAGGTTCATGCCTCCTTGTTAAAACAAGGATAAGAGAATCCCAGAGGTCAGCTAATCTAGCTACTATACATGAATAAATCTTCATGTATCACTATCAATAAAGGTTTATCTTGTCTTTTCTACTGACAGGAAAAACTCATGATTTCAAGTGGACTACTTTGAAAAATCTGAACATCAGGCTGTCTTCCCTACCTGAAACTAAACTGAATTTTTACACTGGCAAAAAGCAACTCCAGGGTACCAGTTTTCTGTTACTGCCAGCGGCTAAATTTATAACATAGTTTCTTTGCTGGAAGCACCTCTTCAAAATACAACTTCAAGACATAAAACACTGCTGAAGACTTAAGCTGTTAGTAAAAACTCAATGTTTTCCATCAGTTGTTAATCTTCTATTTTCACATTCATACATATGACAACCAGCTATCTCAGGAATCGGTTATAATACTGATTTTGGGATCCATCCCAGGCCAGGAATAATGAACATGTTTCATTTTGTGAGCCTACTTCAACTGACCGGTAGTGGCTGCCTACAGTGCCATACAATAAATTATGTCTCTAGGCTCATTCCAGAGCACCATGAGTGGTGAGATTTATAGCATGCACACAATATGGTTAGAAGATAAGGAAAAAGGTGGGTACAAACAACCTCCAAGGCTAGCGCCAACTGGACCTTTGGTCTGGGTCTGTGCAGTGTGTATTTGGGGAGAAGCCACTGTTTTACTCCCTGAGCTCTTCTGGAGTTAGAGGAAAACACACACACACACACACAATAAATAAAAACAAAACTCCAACTCCTTCATATCAGAGTTTTATCAGAAACAGGAAAATGGGCACAACGACAGCTGGTCTATCCTTATGCGAAAACTGCCAGTTAACTTCCAAGCACCTCTGTGTGCAGGCTGGGTGTCCAACTAGCCCCTCATTTCCTCATGCTGACACGTGTGAGTACCCTCCATGATTCTGCAAAGTAAAAGACTATGAATTTTCTCCTTAAACTTATTATATCTGAGGCTGGGAGTATCTTATAGTCCACAAACATATACATGCTCAGTAGGCCACAGGGCAGGTAGAACAAAGTGTTACATGGTGTTACAGACACTTGCTAAACACTATTCCTAGACTTCAGTTTCTCCATTTACATCATTCCTACTGTATTAGAAGCTCCGAAGTTCAAGGACATAAACATTCATCCAAAAGAGTACCATCAAACAATTCCTGTCAGACAACACTGCTCTTCCCACAGATGTCTCTCGAGCTCAGCCACTCAAAGTTCTGCGAGGGAAAAGCAGTTTGCTAATGCTACTCCTGAAAAGCTTTGAGGAATAAAAAAATTCAGATTAATATACAAACAGCCTTCATAGAATCGTAAGAAAAATGTTTATGACAACCAATTTTCACACATATGAAAACAATACACTAATTAATATTGGTCATGTTAAAGTATTGTTTTATAATGTGATTCACAATGAACAAATTTATTTTCAATCAGCAATCCCAATGACTTGGCACTAACAAAATTTCTAAAGCAAATTGGATCAGTGGTGGTGGGGAGAATCAATGTGTTCCTTTTGGCTTTTCTTGACAGTTTAGAAAGAAGAGAGTAAATATAGGGAAATACAAATGTAGTATTGTGTGATTAGTCACTCAGTCATGTTTGTTTCTTTGCGATCCATTGAATTGTATCCGCCAGGCTCCCCTGTCCACGGGATTTTTCAGGCAAGAATACTGGAGTGGTTGCCATTTCCTTCTCCAAGGGATCTTCCTCACCCAGGGATCAAACCAGCATCTCCTGTCTCTTGCAGGCAGATTCTTTACCTGCTGAGCGATCGGGGAAGCCCTAAACATAGTACGAGTATAGTAAATATAAGCATAGTATATAAACTTGCTATTTGGGGGGGGGGGGGAGCGGTGGAGACGGACGGACAACACCATATTGCTTGTGGGATCTTAGTTCCCAGGTTAGGGGTCAAACCCTTGCCCCCTGCAGTGGCAATCTAACCATTGGACTGCCAAGGAATTCCCAAGCCTGTTTTTTTCTCTTCAACTATAGCTGAGGTGACTCATCATCCTGTAGTCTTTGTAGTACCAGATCCCTTTCTTCTGGTCCTTCCCATTCATCACTGGGGAGTACCTGGGTGGCTGAGGAGCATCCCCAGGGAGAAGAAGCGTCACTACAGCACTAAAGGTCAGAGCTGCTTCCAGGGCAGAAGTGCCTATGAGGAGCAGTCACGTCACCTGGATCTCACGCATACAGGCCTAGAGGCCAGGGCCAGCTCAGACCAGGTGCCTCGCTCCAGGCCCAGCCCCTACTGCAGCAGCTGCAGAGATAGCTAGCTCCCTGGGCCCATCTCTCCCCAGAGCAACTGCCACCGTCACCATTTAGCCCATATGGGTGAGGCTGTTTGTGCTGGGTCAACAGTCTGCTCCTTGACCCACTGGTAGGACAGTGAATTCCACAACAGTGACTTCAGTAGCATTCTCCCACAATAAACAAGTATTCTTATTACTCTTCTAAAAGCAAAATGATAGAACCTGGAAATGGACAGGGAAGAACAAAAAAGTAAACTGCCAGCATGTAATTCAATATGATTTTCAAAGGCTGAATTTTTTTTTCCCCTTATGTTTGTATTTCTTCTAAATTATTTTTGGAATTGTCAAATGACGATGAATAAGTTGAATGTTTCATATCATCTAATCTTAATTTTTTAATAACTTATTCTTCAACAAAAGGAAAATTGCTTTACAATGTTGTGTGGCTTTCTGCCGTACAACAACGCAGCTCAGTCATAATTGTACACATATCACCTCCCACCTGAGCCCTCCTTGCCTCCCCTCGCCCCACCATTCTAGGTCACTGCAGAGAGCCAGGCTGGGCTCCCTGAGTTACACAGCAACTTCTCACCACCTATCTATTTTACACATGATAGAGTATATATATCGAGGCTACTTTCTCCGTTCGTCCCAATCTCTCCCTTTCCCACTGTGTCCACAAGTCCATTTTCTCTAGATGGCTATGATTTTTTTTAAGGATTTGATTGCAGATATCCTACTTGAGCCATATTTTAAAAAATGAAACTCTGGTTAGTCATATGAATAGTCATTGTAGATTATGAACATTTTATCATATGCCTTAATCAAGAGAAATAATTCCAAATGGATATGCCTTACATCTAATGGGAGCTAAGTATTTTTGAACAACCTTATAGGCTTCAACATGCCCTTTGACTAGTTCTGACAACAAACCCCTCCTGGGAAAATTCTTGATTGCAACAGTGACCACACCAAGAACATACATCTGTATGCACAGCATTTTGAAACCATGTTAGATCAAAATCCTCACATTCAGAAGTAGCTACATCACCCACATGAGTAGGAGGGTTGACCTGGAACCCACACAGCTCGGATTTGGCTACCAAAGTGGAAGGCAAAGGCAGCAGGCACGTGGAGAACAAATTTGTCCCAAGGACCTTATGGTGCACTTTCATGTGCAAAGTGCCACTGATTTTAAAATTTCATCTACATATGGTCTATGAATAAGTGTAGGCAAAACAAGATTTCAAATATTATCAACCAAGAACTCCTGAGAAACTGCGCAAGGTTAGTCTCTCTGGCATGATCAGACATTGTTATTTTCCCATCTCATCCAGGTCATAAAGAAGCTACAGTATTTTCTCCATAAAATAGTCACTTAGTAGATGTTTCAGGTATGGAAACCTAAACCAGTGGCATTGTAAGAGTCAGTGTTTTCCACTGGCCCAAAGTAACAGAGCAACGACAAATGACTGTGTGCCATCCTTGAAAAGAAGTCAGTGGAGTGGGGAGGGGAGCAGAGGAAGGAGGAAAGGAAACAGACATGCCTGCCAAATTCTCTTTGAAGTTAGGCTTTCTCCCACTCCCCCATCCACCTCACACTGGGACACTTTCCTCCTTTCTTTTGTTTTCCCTGTGCCTCCCAGCCTCCAAATGAGGTCAAGAGACCTCCATCCAGAGCCTCTAAGAGCTCATTTGAGTCACCTCAGACTTTTCCACCCTTCTCCTTCCCTTGATCATGCCATTCCCCATGCCCTCCAGCCCTAGCCAGAATTGGCCTGCCATAGGCAGGCTGACCTAGTCATTTCTCTGTGAGAGCTGCATTGGGCCCTGTGATGTGGTGTGTACATTCAGCTCTTTACCACAGTTTGCCTCCCTCTTGCTTATGTGTAGAGGATGCTAATCTGTTTAGTCAATACTCTCCCCTGGCTTCTGCTTCCCCTATTGTCTAAAAGGCCAGCCTCTCCCAGGCCAGTAAGACACCTGTATCAACTAGGTACAAATCCAGTGATGAGGGAGTGGAGCACGTGAGGTGCTGCCGGCTGTGTTTTTCCCAGTGTTTTAAAGTCACAGACCGGCCGCGGGGCAGAAGAGACCAAGACTCTTACTTCCCAAGAGCACCTGGCACCTGCAGCTCACCTGTGACAGAGAACTCCCTGAAACAGGCGAGGGATGCACAGCGCCCACTGCTGAGGACATGAACAGAGCACACGAGCCATATGCAGGCTGCTCTATGAAGCTATGGACACTGTTAAGGGGAGCCCAACCTGGGATATACCTGAGGGTATTCAGGTTTTGATCACTGAAAACTCTTGAGGATTTTCTGTGTAAAGATAACTATGTTTCTGGAACACACAAGCAAATGAAGAACAGCCTTTGACCATGAAAGCCAATATGGTGCTATGGAGCTGAGGACACAGCAGGAAGGAGGGCCACATGGGACCCTGTAGCGCTCAGCATTCCAGGCCCAACAGAGACCCAAGAGGCTACAGGGACTAAGATGCTCAGGGCTGGTGGTGAACTGGAGGTCACAGCTGTGGGGCCAGGGTGGCCTGGGTGGGCCAGCACAGAAAACTGGCCAATCCTGTGCAAAGTTAAAAAGGTCTTCTTTTCTGAGCAAATAAGTCACACAGTGGGAGAAAAGGATAAGAATTTGTATACCTGGAATGTACTGGGCCTTTGAAAAGTGTCCACAGACACACCTGGTGTTTCACATGATGCCTCCGGCCTGATCAAGGTGGTAGAAACATCAGCTAGAGGAGGCCCTGTGCAGCCGGCATCACCTTCTCCGGCTACAGTCACGCAAATAGCTCAGCAGCCACACTAGGTATGACTATCTTCAAGTAAGGGAAGTGACAGATGGCTTCATTTTAAAGGCTTACAGAATCACAATTTTGTCACAGTAATAGAAACAGAAAACTTAAGAATCTATAGAACTGCATGTTTAGATAAAATTGCTAGAACCTCTCCAGTTTTGAGTTCCAAAGGTAAGATCTACTCTCATACTTGTCCTTGAGCTCAGCTTCACCCATGTCACCAGGCCTGCAGTGACCTGCCATTCAAGCAGGTTACCTGTCACTAAATATCCTCAGTTTAGAGGATGACTTAGTAATCTACAATTTCCACACTTCATAAATGCTCTTAGATTGCACATTTTGGGAAACATTTCTGTATTTCCTACTAAATATACAGTGACTTTTATATTCCCTACCTTAGTAGATAAAATTACCTAGAACAGAAAGGCATGATTTTCTCCTCCAAAATTACATTGGCCTACTGAAGATGGAAATACTTTGACCTCAACTTTTGCCCAAATTTCAAACAACAGTTTCTGTCTTCCCGCTACCCCCTCCATCCCCAGAATCGATCAGCTGGAGGCCTCTAAGGGAAATTGTTACAAGTCCCCTCTTGGCTTCAGGGATGTGTTCAGCAACTGCACAGAAGCAGCCCAGTGGACAGCCTGTGGGACCTCCCCAGGAAGACTGATTTCTGCAAAGAGGGAACCACATCTCGTGGACACCACAGCAGAAACTGCTATCAGTCTGCCCAGGACATGTTAGCCACGAGGGTGGCGACCATCAGGACTGTTTCCAGATCAACGTTCAGTTTGAAGTGTAAACCTGTTGTTTTATCATTTTACTGAATAAACACCACTGCTTGGATGTTACTGAGGAAAACAACCTGTGGCTTGTCCTCCTTTCGTAAGAGCCCCGATGGAGCCCATCTCCTTTATGTGAGGACTCTCAGGGTGAACTCAGTCACGATTCTTCTAAGGCTTTAAAAATGCACAAGAGATTACGAGGTACCGAGGAAAACAAACAATGGATTTTACAGTACATACATTCTGGTGGAAGTCTGTTCTTTCTAAAAGCAAGTCTCTCAGTTTTCTTTCTGCTTTCTGCCAAGCTAAACAGGACTCCGTAAACATACTGACGAACTGGCCTATAGAGCAGGGCGGCGGGAGGCAGGTCTTTGCTGGCTTCATCTTCAATAGAAACAGCAATTTTGATTTCACCCTTTGCATGGAAGAAAGCAGAATAATATTGCACATTTTTCATGTTGAATTTACAATAAACTCACAGAAATATACTGTATTATCTCCAGTTAACGAAATTGCAATTCTATTCCAAATCAGTTGCTTAACAAGTTGCCTATATCAAGATGTTTAGGGAGAGTTCATTCAGGTTTAGTCAAAATATATGCTCAAAGAGTCAAAATAAAACCTACATTGTTTTATTTTTAACCTGGAACAACAACAAGAACAAAAAGCATGTAAATGCTTCCAAAGTCTTCAAAAAAATCTAGATAGGTAACACCAGACAACAAATAGAATAGAAAATGCCGAGAACTGTCAAATTTTATGTCAAGATGGTCATATGTAATGTAATTCATAATTTTCAATGACCTATATGAAATCCAAGAAAAGAGCACCCTAAAAATAAAATGGTCACAAATTTTCTTTACCAAGCTCTTTCATAAAAAACTATCATGTACAAAAAACCTACCTAAGAGAACTCTTTTAAGTGCTATTTGTTTTTAAAGTATTCAGCATGTATCAGGCCTCTGCCCCAGTGCATCACGTAACTCAACAGACGAGTCCCACTGAATGAGACAGCCACCAGGGGCTGGAAATGAAAGAAGCCCTGTTCTGTTCATCCCACCCCCACTCCTCTCTGCCAACATAGCAGGGGCTTCCTTGTGGCTCCAGGAGACAAATGACTCTGTGACCACCTGCACCTGAGATCAATCCAAAAATTCTGTGGTCCTGTCCTAAATATTTTATGTTATCAAGGTACATCTCAAGAGACTTCACAAGGAATTTAATTATGCATATTCTTAATATAAAAATATATTTATGACCCCAATGTCTAGTAAATTTATTGATATGTACTCTTTTAATCATGTCATAACATTCATTCTTTCTTTCACATAAATTTAATTTAGAATTGATCTTTTCCCTTATCAGAACCTTCATACTCATTAATCTAGTAGCTACAGATGTGGTTAACACTCATCTAGTGAGTATTTACTCTCCCAAAATTATGAGGCTTTGACGATTCTCTACATTCTCACTTCAAGCTTGAATTCACAGCAAATGTCTCAGCCTGGAAAATTTAACACCAGAGCCACTCAGCTTGCAGGAAACAGCACACATTTCAGTCTAAACTTTTCCCAAATACACTGAAAAATTTTAGGTGACACCTTAAAATCTGAAGATAGTCAAGTTCACTTTTCTCAACCACAGTCATTTCATCAGTATTTGCCCTTGAAATCAGTGAGTACTGAAGAGGAGGACAGGCAGTTTTGCATCGCTCAGACTGATTTAACCAAAAGTCCCTGAGTCAGACCCACGAGCATGGCAGGGCACAAACAGCAGGGAGTCCAGGGACCTTGTACCCCAACAACCCCAGAGTGAAAGGGCACAGCCTTCCCAACACTCGAGTCCCTTTAAACTTAGCAAAATCCTTTTCCCACAACAGTGACCCTCACTTACCCTTATAATCTATGTTGGACCTGAAAGATAAAATTTTTACTTTATAACCATAATGCGAGAAGTGATACCACACATGCAAACCCATATCAAATAACAGATGAGACTTGGAGGCAATTATAATTCAAAAATACATTAAAGGACCCAAATAATAGCACTGGTCTTCCTGTCCTTTATTTTATAAAATATAAAATTAAGCAGTTCAAATTAGTCAATTAACTGTTAAAAGTGCAGCTCGAGAGTGCTGTGGAATGGAAGTCACTTGTAATTACTGACTCCATTCTATAAACCATACATGGACTGTAGAAAATAAGAAAAAAGTTTGATTATATATGGTGGTACATATACAGATGAAAACATAATAAAATACATAGAGTAACGAACCAATTTTACACCAGATATCTGGTCACCAAGTTAAACTGTGGATCTATGATCATAAACATAAATATGACAAGTCACTGAGGAAATTGAAATAAACACAGATCTGTTCAAAACACCAAGATTCAGAAACAATTAATGCCACACTGTATATCTATTTAAGCATACATTTAGGAAGATACTAATAAAGTGATGAAGCCCCATATTCTATTGTTTGCTATAAGTACTCAATGAGGTAGAGGAATAAGTCAAAGTATGAAGTGCTATCAGCCACTCAGAAGTTGGGAGCCTCTAGGACAGATGACAAGCCAGATATAGTATGTTGACATCACAATTAAACTTGACACTACAGCAAAAACATGCAGGAAACTTTGAAATTAGAAATACAAGTAAAATTACAAACCAGAGAATAACATGAAGTGCCATTAATTAGAAGTTTCAAAAATAATTTTGGGTTAAATTGATGAGAAAAATAAAGACTTTTCCCAAGTTCTAATTTTATTGTGATTATAGATATAAATATCCATCTTCTTCCTCCAAGTTTAGAAAGGGGGAAATGAACTTCATTTAAATACCTTGTAAGATAAAAAGCAGTTCCAGCAGGAACAAGGACACACCCCACAAGAGCGACCACCGAGAGACCACGGCCACACGCGCGGCCCCAGGGCATACCTTTGTCAGGACGTGGAAGATGTAGGGGTACATCAGCCCCTTCTTGTGCCGGTGCTCGGCCACTCTCAGCACCTCAGGCGCGACAGGAGGCAGGGGTGGGGTGGTGATGTCCATGTGGTTCCTGGTGGGCATGGACAGGAGGCACGGAATTGGCTGAACAGTGCCAGTCTGGTTCCCCTTTCCTTCAGCAAGCTGGCTGCCAGAAGAGGCAGTGGACGAACCTTCTGCCTGCAGAGCAAGGGTGAGAGGAGAAACTGGGCTCATGTCACGTCCCCACCCCTTTAACCTGTCCGTCCAATTGCAGCACAGAGAGATGTGATTGACAACTTCAGTGAGGACAAGGAGAGCTGTGACCCACTCCTCCTTGAAGAGGAAGTGTGAATGGACGCCCACTGTGCCTGTGTCAGGGGTGGGAACCTAGAGAACTGCTGCAGCTTCCACTGGGTGACCCCACTCATGGCTCCTCCGCTGGGATCCCCACAGGATGAACAGCCTTCTGTGGCTGCTAACCGAAGCCCCGTAGGCTCCCCCATGTGACCAGTCTTGTGATTCTGCTTTCCTGGGAGACCCTTCCTCAACTCAATGGGTAGCATCCTCTCTACAGATGAAAAAACTAATTCTCCAGGAGGGGATGTCTCTTGTCTGTGGTAATGAGACCAGTAACTAGTGAACTGGGACTAAAACTGGGTCTCAGTCCACCACACTAGGTCCTCACCACCACCACAGTTCTTATTTAAAGAAGAAATAAAAACCAAACCTCAAGTATTCTCTTAGGGTACTTAAAGTCCCAAATAAAGTATACAGAGGGAACTGTCTGCCAAAAATTAAAACCAAAGAACAAGCTAAAACCATTAAAACTGATGAGTCAGATCTACATAAACTGACACAGAAATATGTGCATGATAAATTGTTAGGTGAAAAATATCCACTCTCTACAACCAATCACCAAAATACAGAATATATGTACATGAATAGGAAAGAGTATGGACACCAAATGGCTACCTCAGTGCTAAAGGGAGATTCTTAGTTTTCTCTTTACAAATTTTAGCAGAGTCCTAATTGTTTACCAAGAGCAAGTATTATTTTTTGCAGCAAACTTTTTTCCTCACAATAAATTCTAGAAATAAAAATTGCTCACTTACTGCTTCTGTGACACCCTAAAAAATATACAAAGAAAGACAATGCCAGAGAATGTTCAAACTACTGTACAACTGCACTCATTTCACATGTTAACAAGATTATGCTCAAAAATCTTAAAGCTAGACATCAGCAGTATGTGAACTGAGAACTTCCAGATGTACAAGTTGGATTGAGAAACGGCAGAGAAACCAGAGATCAAATTGCCAACATCTGCCGGATCATAGAAAAAGCAAGGAATTTCAAAAAAAACATCTACTTCTGCTTCATTGACTACGCTAAAGCTTTGACTGTGTGGATCTCAACAAACTGTTGGAAATTCTTAAAGAAACAGGAATACCAGACCACTTTACCTGTCTCTGAGAAGCCTATATGCGGGACAAGAAGTAATAGAAATGGACATGGAACAACATATTGGTTCAAAATTGGGAAAGCAGCACATCAAAGCTGTGTATCACACCCTGCTTATTTAACGTCTACGCAGAGTACATCAAGCGAAATGCTGGGCTGGATGACTCGCAAGCTAGAATCAAGACTGCCAGGAGAAATAAAACAACCTCAGATACGCAGATGATACCACTTTAATGGCAGAAAGTGAAGAGGAATTCAAGAACCTCTTGATGAAGGTGCAAGAGGTGAGTGAAAAAGCTGGCTTAAAACTCCGCATTCAAAAAACTAAGATCATGTCATCTGGTCCCATCACTTCATGGCAAATAGATGGGGAAAAAATGGAAACAGTGGCAGATTTTATTTTCTTGGGCTTCCCAAATCACTGCAGCCATGAAATTAAAAGACACTTGTTCCTTGGAAGGAAAATTATGACAAACTTAGCATATTAAAAAGGAAAGACATTACTTTACCAACAAATGTCCATCTAGTCAAAGCTATGGCTTTTCCAGTAGTCATGTATGGATGTGAGAGTTGGACCATAAAAAAGGCTGGGTGCCCAAGAGTTGATGCTTTCAAACTGTGGTGCTGGAGAAGACTCTTGAAAGTCCCTTGAACAGTCAATCTTAAAGGAAATCAACAGTGAATATTCATTGGAAGGACTGATGCTGAAGTTGAAGCTCCAATATTTTGACCACCTGATATGAACAGCTGACTCACTGGAAAAGACTTGATTCTGGGAAAGACTAGAGGGCAGAAGGAGAAGGGGATAACAGCAGATGAGATGTTGGATGGCATCACTAACTCAATGGACGAGTTTGAGCAAACTACAGTAGATAGTGAAGGACAAGGAAGCCTGGCGTACTACAGTTCATGTGGTTACAAGGAGTCAGATAAAACTTAGAGACTGAACAACAATAACAACAAAAAATATTGATTTTTCTGTTCTGAAACAAAATGTATTCTTTTAGTGGTAAGCATTCAGTGCTTAATTTCATCCTTTAAAACACAAAGTGCCAAAATTAGCCTTAAGAAGAATTCATGGATAACTCACGAAAGTTTTCTACACTTTCCATTCCATAGCATGTAGACATAAACAACTGAAAATGTTTTGGGAGGTACTTTGCAAGGAGTATGTATCCAGAAAGCATTTCTGTTATTTATTTTCAGGATAATCATTCAACAGTGAGAGTATTTCAGAGTTTTACACATATTTCTAACATTCCATAATCCTGTATAAAAACAAGCCCTCTTCCAGCCAGAGACCAGCTCATCCTAAGTGACCACAGGTGGGGACAGATGTGGCTTTGTAAGTTTAAGATATTCATCTGGAGATGAATATTAACAAGTAGAAATAGAAAAAAAAAAGGGGGGGGAATAAAATTTATTTTTATTTTTATTTTTTCATTTTTAATGTATACATCACAAAACTTTTTTCACCTAATCATGACAAAACCCTGCAAGAAATGAGGGCTCTGAAAGGCTATGTAGTGGTGAGCAGAGAAAAGAAGATCTCTACTAGGTCACCACCCTGCCCTGGGAGAGAGAGCAAACTGGGGGTAGCACAGCCCTTCCCCACTCACCCTTGCCAGTGTATTACTCATAAATAACATGCTTAAAAAAAGAGAGAGAGAGAGAATGTTACTTTAAATCAATCCCTGGCACTACATGCTGAGAGAATGAGACTCTGAAAGAAGAGAAGGCACAGACTTACTACCTTTGTTTGGTCTCCTGGGTCTCCCCGTGCTTGAGGTTCTGAATGGCTTCCTGTCTTCTCCCAGCCAATCTTGTTCCCACTGATATGGCTGAACATAAAATGAACAAAATTACCAATTAGTGTTGACCACTTCCCACATGTACTCATGATGATAAGAAGGGCTTGCCCTGAGCCTACAAACCAAGGATACCTATGCTTTACTGATCCCACCTTGTGAAACCACCTGTGTCCACAGAAAATCCTATCACAACAACACCTTCCACCTACTTCAGCGGTAACCACCCACACTGGGCAAGAGAAATCAAGCACCTGACCTATGCCTCATGGCTTGGCTTAGAGATGGTCTAGGATGTGCTAGTGCTGCAGGTATATAGGAGACAAACGCAGGCCTTGCCTTTGGGAGCTCAGTCATTTTGGAGAAATAAGACATCACATTCAATTGACAATCGTCAGGCAGTAGAAGATTAAATGTTATCCAGGTCAAATGTTACTCATAATTTATAAATAAATGTAAAGTATTATATGCCAGTGGCAATTCATGGGGGGCATTCCTATTCATGGTAGGGAGCATGGAGCTAAGGCTAGCGCTAACTCAGAGGTGTTTGCCTTGCAGGCCTAAGGAGAGGCAATGGATTTGTGAGTGCAGAGAATAAGAAGTTACCTGAATCTTACTTGGGGAATGACATTCTTTGGCAAAGTAAAAGTGGGAAAAAAGATGCAGAAGATTACAATGTATCTTAAACACCAGAATGAAGTATTTTTCAATCAATGTTCTTAAAAACTGTGGGTTGTAACCAATTAGTAGCCTGAGAAAACAATGTAGGGGATTTAACAAGCATTTAAAAAAAAAAAAAAGGAAATGGGGACTTCCCCGGCAGACCAGCAACTAAGACTCCTCACTGTCACTGCAGGGGGCACGGGTTTGACCCCTGGTCAGGAAACTATGGTTCCACATGCCAGAGGGGAGAGAGAAACAGAATAGACCAGATGCAGCAAGTGTGGTATGAATCCCATTACTTCAAAAATTCTTTCTCCATTTGTGTATTATGGGCCACAATGTAAAAGAAAATTTACTTTGGTACCCGGGCAAACTTTGTGAAAAGCAGTAACCTGGAGGGAGTAGGGAGTCTCAAGGGGCTTGAGTAGGGACGAGATGCTGATGATCATGGGGATCACTTGAGCCACTACATGCATCCACCCTTCACTTGCCCCCCTCCCTGCAGTGCTCCAAGCCAAAATTATCTTCTAAAACCAGTACTGGCCGCAAGACAAGCCAACATAGAGAGCTTTTATTTGGCTTGCCTTATCTGACAAGAGATTTTAAAACCTGGTAATTCCATCGTCCAATCAACTTCATTTTAGTTCTATTAAAAAAAAAAAAAGCCACTCCAAAAAGAGGAGAGAGTGAGACTGATCCATCTTAAACCAAGAATCATGTCCCATGTAGTGATATTTTGGAGTCTAGTTCCTTGATGCCAATACCCCACATCAAACAAGGTCATCCAGAATCCAGGCTCCTAGGCTTCAGTGAAGACTCAGAGAAACCACTACTCTGTCCAAGTTTGCTACTCATGTGTACAATCTCAGGCTACAACTTTGCAAAACCAGATGAAACTCTAGGGATGAGAAGGCATAAAAATAAATACAAGTATTCTAAGAGCATAGTGATCCATCCTATTTGAAATCCAAGAGAAGAGCAGCTACTACATCAGTGAGCAGATAAGAAGCTGGACAAACTGATTGGTCAGTCAATTATTCATTGAGTATCTACTGGTCAGGACTTGTCATGTGATAACTGTGCCAAGACCTGTGAAACAGGGAATCACAAGGTGTACAATCTTGTCATACACATGTCCAAAGTGAGCATTTCAAGCAAAGGGGAGGAAAAGTGAGCTTCTCTGAAGTGGTTTATTTAGAAGGTGGTATAAATAGAGTTGCTTAAAAAGTCAGTAACATTTATTGTGTGAAATTTTAGAACAAATTACTTGACACATGTTTTATAAAGAAATATAACATTTATTACCTACAATTTTATATATTTAAGGATATCCTATCTACAAAATGCACACATGAACAGCTTAATGAGTATCTACAAACACACCACATAAGCAACACAGGACTGACATCCCAGAATCCCCTTCCTGACCTGCTCCTGAGACTTCCTCAAGGGTAATAGTTATTCTGACTTCTAACAGCAAAGACTGCTTTTATACACCATGTACACAGAGTCATGCATTTGTACACTTTTTATGACGGGGAGTTTGGGCTCAACAATATTATTGCAGTGCTGGCTCCATCTCAGGGCAACATGCACTCAGTGCCGTGGGAACACACCACAGCTGGGTCTACAACCCAGTCCTACAGGAGATCCCTGCCCTGGAAGCACTTAGTATTTTCTGTTGTTCTTCGGTTGGCCTTCTGGGAGGAAAAGCAGTGACTCAGCACAGTCTAATTTGCACTTCTCTGATAATAATGAAGATGGGCATCTTCCCATGCGTGATACTTTCTTTTGTGGCGTGCCTGTTCAGACATTCTACAGTAAGTGGACAGTGTGCAGAATGCTCTTAAGGACTTACAGGAAGTCATCATCTGTTCTGGATACAGGTTCTTGGTCAGGTGCATGGACTGCAATCATCTTCCATGTCCTGCTGGACTGACGCCCCTCCCTCTCTATGACAGATTTAAGCTTTTATAAGTGACGCCCTGATGTGAACAGCTGACTCACTGGAAAAGTCCCTGATGCTGGGAAAGACTGAGGGCAGAAGGAGAAGAGGGCACCAGAGGATGAGATGGCTGGATGGCATCACTGATGCAATGGACATGAACTTGGGCAATCTCCGGAAGATGGTGAGGAGCAGGGAGGCCTTGTGTGCTGCAGGGGGCGCCAAGAGTTGGACACAACTTGGTGACTGAAGAACGGCCACATGTGATGCCTCATCTTGTACAAGCTGGCTGCGACTGGGTGCAGCCTTCCCGAACCACCCTGTGCTCGCTATTCTCATTTCTGTGTTTCATGGTATGCATCACATTCAGCACTATTTCTAATTACTGTCTGTTTGTATCACTCAGTCATGAACTCTACAAAGATAATAAAACCATACAGTCACTACAGAATAGTTGAATGACTAAATCACATAACTGTAGCCTAAATGGATATGGCAAAAAAGGCATAAAATCTGGGTTTTATATGGATACACTGTAGTGGGGAGATCATGCCATGTGACTAACGTGGAAGCTTGTCCCACTTAAGATCACGTACAATTTTTATTTATAAATCTTACTTTTGTTTTATAAAGATTACCAAACTAAAATGTTATCATAACCTAAATGTTTGCAAGATTTTTTAATACTGTACTATAAAATCTAAAATTCTGTCTGAAAATCATCTTGACAGTGGCTAATTTTTTAAAGTTCAGAATATTTCAATAGTATAATTATGACTTTATAATGTAAGAAAACAAAATATTTGATACAACAAATGCCGTACTTTGAAGAACAAGATGGATTAGAAATTTCTGGATATTTGCATATTCAGTTAGGTTCCATTTTGCACAACTGCTCCCACCTATGATTACACTTGGAACTGCTAACGGTGTCATGAAGTTTCATCAGCTCTGTGCTGAGAAAACCTGCTGAGACCCAGGCAGGCCACAGGGAAGTGGATGGGGCAGGGCAGGAAGCCTGCCTGTGTTCTGGATTTGAATTTTCCTGCTCAGCCAAAGGCACAACTCTCTGCGGGTAAAATTCAGGTTCAGGAATCCATTCACAGCCACAGCACCTAGACCCACCATTCCAGACATTACCCCATGCTATTACCAGAAAGCCATGAAATGCATTTATGATGCAGCAGGCAATCAACAGAAAAGAACTACCCTCATACCCAGATCGGTGGCAAGGGGAAGGCCAGCACCACACAGAATTCACCAGGCTCTGTGAATTCTTAACAGGCGATGCAAAGCCTCACTTCGCTCCTGGACACCTGGGACTTCTTCTGCACTAAAGCTGGTTGAAAGTAGCCAACTGTCCTAACCACTGAATTCTCGCAAACACATTTTTTTAGTTAGCAGGTTGGTGGTGCTAGGATGAAGCAGACTGGTGTCCAGATTTATACCAAGTGTCTGACCCATCACAGTGACTTCTCACTCAGGCACAGCTGTTCTGGGTGTGGTTTGCTCTTGTGGAACAGAAAAGGAAGATAGCATTGACCACAAGCTGACTATTTGTCAACGAAAAAGGAAGAAAAGGCAAATAAAACCAAAAGGGGGGCTTTCCAGGGGTTAAGCATCTGCCTGTCAATGCAGGGGACCCAGGTTTGATCCTTGGTCTGGAAACTAAGATCCCACATGCGGTGGGGCACCTGAGCCCACGTGCCACAACTACTGAGCCTGCGCTCTAGAGTCCTTGAGCCGCAACTACTGAGGCCGGAGTGCTCTAGAGCCCATGCTCTGCAACAAGAAAATCCCCGCAATGAGAAGCCCACACATTGCAACTAGAGAGTAGCCCCCACCTGCCCCAACTGCCCACATGACAAAGAGCTAGGGCAGCCAAAAATTAATTAATTAATTAATTAAGAAAAACAAAAGGCAAGAAGTAAAACATGAGCAAGATCAAATCCTCAGTAGCACTATCTAGTGTATGTGGATAAGGCCATAGATATGGTTAAACCATGTGAGCGTTTCAACAAACGTACATACATTTTCATTTTCATCTGCTCCCAGGAAAGGAAAAGAGACTTGACCCACAGACTGCTCTCATTCAACAGACCCCCCAAGAGTTCTGATTGCCAGGTGTTCCTACAACAGAGGGTGAAGATTTGCGCTCCCTGATAAGGGAAACCACAAGAGTATCACATACATAAATATCCTTAATAGGTACATCTCCCTATGCCCCAAATTAAGCTAGGGTCACATACATTCAGATTCTTTCAGAAGTACTTGCTCATTCTTATGCAGCAGTCAGGATGGAGCTCATGTCCCCCCCAACGCTCCTCTTATGTGTTTGCCAGAGGACTTCTCACAGCTTTTCCTACCCAAGTGAATGTTGAGAAACACCTGAGTCAGAAGAGCTCAACATAAAATGCCTACATGG